AGTAGTATACTAGTTAATTTAGGTTATTTTCTTCTCTTGCTGCGTTTCCGTTTAGGTTAAGTTATATATATATCTACTTATTTTCTTTTCTTTTCTTTTTTTTTTTTTTTTTTTTTTTTTTTTTTGTTGCATGGTTGATTGACCTGCATACAATTTATTATTACCACACTCGTTTCAATTTGCTCAATACATATTTTTGCTATGATTCCTTTTTTGATTTTACAAATTCCCTTTTATTTTATTTTATTTCTTTTTAACTTTTGGACATCTTAAAAATGTTCTACCCAGGTAATTTGATAATGCTTATTTTCTTCGTCAATGTTTGTTCCGCCTCCACCTGTGAGGTTTCCTTTTCTATTTTAATGTTTTAATTGCTTTTGATGATATTTGATTGTCTTATTGGGATGACTTACCGTTTAACCCGTCTTTGACGTTTAGTGTTGCTTTGTAATTACGAGAAATCAACCATCAAAGGTGGGATGAACTAAATCAAAGCTATATATAATAAGATCCTACTGCAAAGATGTGTTTTAATATAGACTTATCTGATTTACGAATATAAGTAAACATATGCAAAGATTCCTTTCCTCAAATCAGCTTACTTTTTAGGAAATAGTGAAGGTTTATTATGATACGCAATAGTGAATTTTCAGAAATGGAGGGAGCGTCCAGTAACCGGATTTAACAGTGTACAGTAATGAAATGGATCTCTTGAAAGAGCTCCAGGTAAATTACATTTGATCAAAACCGATCAGAAAAAGGAGGCATGTTTACACGGAAACTCTTCAGTTCACTTGAGAATAATTGGAGATATGTATCTCAAAGTGTTAACTTCCAAAGGAATCGTCCGTTCTCTACTGGCTTGTCCGTTAAAGTACCAAACACACCGAATTTTAATGTGAAGAAAAACTCTGGTTTCCAAAGGCGGAGTGATTCGTTTATTCCACCTTTTCTAGTTCCAAACGTTTCCGAGGGTCAAGTGTACTCTCCAAGCGATTTGAAATTTGAAACGGTGGAAGCACGAAATCAAGCCAATTTCTTCAATGCCAAAAAAAACGACTGCTTTAAGGCTGCTAATAAGAGTCCAATAGAATTTTGGAAGAACCCTGTTGTATTGTCCAGTTTTATTACTGACCTGGGTCGTATTAAGCCAAGAGCGGATACGGGTTTGAGTGCAAAGAACCAAAGGCTTGTTTCTCGTGCCATTCGTCGAGCCAGGGCAGTGGGAGTTTTACCTACCAAACATAAGTCTGTATATGCAGAACGAGAAAAGTAATAAAGATACATACTTCCCAGTGTATATGCTGGGAACCTATTGCAATGGCCCAAGAATAAAAGGATGGATCAGAAAAAATTACGAGACGAAAAGAGCTAGTAAGATTTCCAAAGTTGGAAATAATGGATTTGGTTGGGTTTCCAAAACATATGCGTGTGTTAAACGTGAATAATCTTTTGTAAAGCACCCGGAATGGTCGTTTTAGCTTTCGTGAAATCTTTTGAATTTTGTAATTGATCCCTATGGGGTCTAAAGAGTATTACAATTGACTACTTTTCACTAATAGGTTTGACCTTCGTACCATGAGTTTCATAGATTTCGAAAGAAATGTCAATGAGTTTAAAGATCAAATAAAAAATTTAGGAAAAATAACAATGATAATTAGGTTAATCTAAAGCAAAAAATTAGTAACAGCAGTTTGTTCGTCAAACATAAAGGGTATCCCTGTTTAGAGCAGGACGTAAGAGGCAATAATAGGCATTTATCAAAAAGCACTTTATTTTCATAATTTTGTTTTTGAGGATGAGATAGATGAATGCAATTCGGTGGTAGCAGTGGAAGATCTTAAATGAAAGGTTACGATTGGGTTGGAAGGGGAACAAGAAGGCTTTATTTTAGAGAATAATTGAGCAGATCGGTTAATGGATGAGGTATCTTCTTGTGTATTGAGCAATGCACACTCAATGGATTGCATTGCTTCTTGAATAGCTTCTATAGGAGGTTTTCCCAATGCTAAATTTGAGGCAATGGCTGCGGTTATTGAACAACTAGTTCCATGAACGGCTTTGGAATGAAGTAAATCATATGGTTTTTGAAACACATAAAAAGTCTTTCCATCAAATATCAAGTTTATAGTAAAAGAGTTGGCTGTTGGCATGCTGGTAATCTCAAAGTTCTCATTATATGCAACATGATAACCATTTAGCACGATAAATTTAGGCCCTGCTTTATGGATTATTGTAACAAGTTTCTGAATGTCGTCAAAGGAATGAAGGGCGAAGGGCACGTGTCCAAGAGCCCGCTGAACCAAAACATAGGCTTCCATAATATTAGACGAATAGACGAGTACATGAGGGAAAAGATGCTTTATAGTGGCTGCTATTGCAGTTCGTTCACACATAATGTGCCCAGCGCTGCTAATGATCACTGAATCCATGACTATATTTTTTACTTGATGCCGTTGGAGAGTCTCTGCAATACGGAGTACGCTTTTCGAATCTGGTAACATTCCAATCTTTACCGTATGGCATTCAATATCGCTGAGACAAGCATCCAATTGCCTCTGGATGAGTAGAGGGTGAACGGAATATATGCCATCGATCCCTTTTGAGTTTTGTGAGGTTAGCGCCGTCAAGACCGACATCCCATACACTCCATATGCTTGCATAACTTTCAGATCAGCTTGAATCCCAGCACTTCCACTACAATCGGATCCAGCAATAGACAGACAAGCAGGAGACTTAAGAAACTTCATGAGGAAAGAAAAACAAATGCAGGAATGGGTGAGTCGGATTCAAATCAATAAACAGTGAATTCCAAGGAAGGATGAGCAACGCCAAATTATATCAAAAACTGTCGAAGAATATTGAAACTTTGAAATATGGAAAGACTCTTTTTATGAACAAACTCTTTTTTAAAAAATTGTTTGCTTTTGATACAATCCCAGATCTGCTTCCTGCAAATTACCATTCATCCATCCGCTGCTTGTGCATCTGGGTGCAAGTATGCGAGCGCGATTCAATGATCATTTTCGTACCTTAATGTATTTTTATTGAAAAAGAAACTAGAAGCTTAATGTTATTGTATTGGTAACAGAAGGAAAGAGAAAAAAAAAAAGAGTAAAGAAACAAAGCTACATCCGGCCAAGGCGAATTACGGACTGGTAAGGATCAAATGCGCACTGAACTTAACGTTTTCGTCTTCTGAGGGCCTTTTGTTGTTGTTGTTTTTGTGTCCTCTTATTATTTTCGCTGTTATGTTGTCTCGAATTGCATGTGGGGTAGATTAACTTTTATCCCCACAGTGTAAACAAAAGAAAGAAATGAACAATCAGAAAGAGGATGCTGAAACTAAAAAAAGAAAAAAAGAAAAAGAGAAAGAGAAAGAGAAAAATCCATTTGTTTGAGTGATGTCTCAGTGATATTGCGATGTCTATCAATTCTAGAGATTTACTTGAAAATACGTAACTCGATACCTATCAAACAGCGTTTGAACAGGCTTCCTCGCCCGTTTATGACTAATAAGAAGCAGAAATTCTCTTCTACTAGACGGAGCACATGTATTACAATGTTATGTTTGACTTGATTTCATTTTTTATAGAGGAACTCATTTCAACAAATGAATCGTCGTGGGATTTTTTCTAAAAAGGATCTGTTCATCTTCATTCTTTCGTTTACTAGTTTTATTTTTATTTTTATTTTTAAAAGAAAATTCCATGATATAAAGGCCTTCGTCCCCTTGCCATTTTATTCTTACTCTGCTATGATGTATTTCGCTCCATTCCTTGTTTTTTTCCTTACACTTTTAAAATGAAGCTGATTCACAAAAATGTAGAAAAAACAGGGTCTGGAGAAATTACAATGTATCCAGAAGAGCCTGAAGACATGTGGTATGCTTTTAAACTGTTCTTACTTTGCTAGATTTTGCATAGTAACATTTTAGGCACCTTTACAATATACTCCAAATTGGCGACCAGCTGAAGGCTTCCACGATTCGGTAAGCATGTTTTGAAAGTTCATAAAAATTGGCTAATAATTCCGTTTTAGTCGTGTTGTCAAGGTTGGAGCCACGGGTACCACTTCTAATTCAAGAGAAAAAATGACCTTGAAAGTTTTGGTAGAAGCTACAGACTTTGATACAAAAGCCGCTGAATTACATATCAAAGGGAAAACAACCGAATACCACCCACTCGTAAGGATGGGTTCATATCACACACTGGATTTGGAGTTACATCGAAATTTTACACTTTACAAAAATGAATGGGACTCGTTCGCTTTAGATCGAGTGGATGCTGCCTGTAATCCATCAAGGAATGCAGAAATTGGGGCAGTGGTTCTCGAGGAAGGTATATTCTCTCCTGTTCACGGATTTATTATCTTGCTTTGCTACAGAAATACTAACACCAAGTTATAGGTCTCGCAAATATTTGTTTAATAACTGATTATATGACTATTATGCGCCAACGAATTAATCAAACTATTCCCCGAAAACGCAGAGGGGATAGCAGCGCTTATCAGAAGGTATGCATATGAAGTTGAAGAATGCTGTACTCTCATACTAAACTCTTCAGGGTTTAAACAAATTTTATGATACTGTTTTTCAAGCAATTTCTACAGAGCTTGATTTTGACAAACTTAAAGTCGTTATCCTAGCCTCTCCTGGTTTTGTCGCAAAAAGTTTATTCGATTATATTATGGAAATGGCAGTAAAATTGGACCTAAAACACATTTTCAAGGCGAAACAAAAGTTTTTGATTCTTCATTCCAGTACTGGCCATATCCATTCTCTTAACGAAGTACTTAAAAATTCAATTGTTGAGTCTAAGCTGGCAGATACAAAATACATTCAGGAAATCCGCATGCTAAACAAATTTTACCAAGTTATGAATGATGATGACAGACGAGCTTGGTACGGCCCAAAACATGTCGAAAAGGCCTTTGAATTTGGTGCTATTGGTGAACTTTTGATTAGCGATTCTTTATTCCGAAGCTCTGATATTGCTACTAGAAAGAAATGGGTTGGCCTCGTAGATGCGTTAAGAGAAACCAGTAGTACCATATACATTTTTAGCAGTCTTCATGAATCCGGGAAACAACTTGATTTACTCTCCGGAATAGCTGCTATCTTAACATATCCTGTGGAAGAAGAAGATATAGAGGAAGAAGAAGAAGAAGCAGAAGAATAAAGCTAACGAAAAAACAACCACAAAAAACTCATTCTTCACTTTTATGATTTTCAATGTAAATGAGGGTTGAGTCGAGGATTTTAGAGTAATTCTGAGCTGGTTCAGTGTAATCAAAATATATTCTTTTCGTATCTAATTAATTCATTTTTACAAAACCACTTAAAGCATGCCCATCCAGTATTTAAGTGAATCAATACACTCTTAAAATACAAGCCAAACTCATAGCAAAGTCTATGACGAAGTACACGGCCATCTTCCAGTGTATACTACTTATAAAAGACCCTTCTTTTCGTTCAAATTTTTTACTAGTTGCTCAGCTGTATTTTTTTCTTTAACGCGAACCAAATAGGTTACCAAAGCTTTTCCATCTTCAGAAGCTGCTGGAACAGTCAAAGCTTTCTCTCCAGCCATCTTATATTCAAAGTCTTTACATAAACGAACGTTTAAAAGAAGCTTACCGTTACCATCAACGCGTGCAAGAAGTCTGGCGGCATTAGTAGTTCTATCAACATTTAATTTTAAGGGGCCGAGACCAATGTCTGTATAAGACTTTGTAGTGCTATTAAAGAGATAAAGTTTGGCCCTCGTTTCGAAAATACTGTCTTCATTCTCTTCACCTTGACCTTTACTAATCGCTAAAGAACTGTCCTGCCTTTCTTCAATTTTTTTATCCTCTTCTTTGTCATCCTCAACGGTCTCAGATTGCTGTTCTTCCTCATTCTTTTTATCGGAACCTGCTTCGTTATTTACACTAGCGGGAGATTTAGCTGCAAAAGAGAATGGATTAGGATTAGTACCGAAAGAGAAGCCAATCGATGCAGCGCTAGGAGGATTCACTTCAGGAGTTGGAGTTGGCTTTTTAGCTGATAAAGGGTTTGTAAAAGTAAACTTTTTCTCAGGAGCTTCAAATTTAATAGGCTTGCTGGGATCCCATGAAAAATTGAATCCCTTCTTCTCAGCATCCTCCTCCTCTTTGTTTTCGGTGCTTAAATTAGTGCTTGGCTTCTTTTCTTGTTGCTCTTGTGAAGTCTTTTGGAAGGAAAATGTGGGAGTGAAAGAAGGTTTTTGACCAAAAGAAAAAGGGTTCTTGGTCTGAGCTTCTGATCCAAAAGGTAATTTTTTCTCTTCATCCGGTTTACTGATTTCCTTATTGAAGGCAGCTAAAGGACCTGTAGGAGTAAGTGAAGAAGGGTTGAACTGAAAAGATTTGCTAAGATCAGGAGCGGAGAATCCAAAACGTGGAGCACCTGGGACAGGTAAAGTAGATTCGGATGGTTTAGTAGAAGTAGTTTCAGAGGGCTTCACTTCATTATCCTTAGGACTCTTGCTAGAATCCATTTGAGAAGATTTTACAGATTCCGCCTCTGAAGATGGCTTTACAGCTTCATTTTGTAGTTTATCTTTGTCTGCAGAAGATACTGAGCTCTCAATGGAAAAAAGATGCTTTTTGTATTCTTCCATTAAAACAGAAAGATTTCCGAATGGATCATTTTCTAAACTTTTTTGTACGCTACCCAAAAATGCTTTGTTCAATCCTCGTTTCTTTAATAATGTGTCATATTTGTCTGTCGAGGAAGCAACATTTGTCGGTTTTCCAAATGTAAAGGGAGAGGCAACAGATTTAGCAGCCTCTGGTTTTGCCAATCCTGAAAAAAGCCCAGCCTGCTGAGACATTCCAGCAGGTCGTTTCCTTGTTTTAGGTTTAGCAATTCTAAACTGTTAGCTTCGACAGCACTTCATCATCATTAATTTTCATACTTTCTAGAGGCAATGACATCGGCAGATGCTTCGGTCGCTAGTTCAACAGAACCACTGCGATCATCATCAGATTCATCCTGATCCTTTGTAATTTGATGATCAGCACCGCGTTTCGACATTTTTACAATTTGGCAAAGGTCAAACTCCCGTTTGGTGAACACACTCATATAACGGATAACACGAAGTCTCACTATTTTGGAAGGAGGATTATTAGAAAATAAAGAAAGGATATTATTTAGGTATCAATTTAATAGAAAATGAAATAGTCTAAGTTACAAAATTAAATTTTACTCTTCGTAGACAAAACGATGTATTTATGGGGACATGACGCTGTTGCAACGTTGGCATACTTCTCCTTCTGAAACTGTATGCATCCAACATCTCAAGCACTTTTTCAACTGCGCAGGTTGCATCCTAATTTGTAACTTTCCGAGATTAGATGCCGCAGTATTCTGCAGAGTCCACAAGGAGGAATTTTTTGAGTCACTAGTAATGTCCAGTGTATGCAAACGGACGCTAGAAGCACCCAAAATCAACGATAGATCATTCCCATATTTCTTCAGAACATTCTGCAATCCTTGATTATCAACCCCAATTATGGTCTCTGTTTCCAATGGACTTCGAATACCATGCTGATTCCTTGCTTCTTGTAGCAACAAATTAAACGAATACTTTATCTTTAGCAATAATTGATGCTCCTCCAATAAAGATTCTTTATCTTGCTTGACGAATTTCTGTAAATCTTGAAGCAAAAAGTCTGTACCAGCATGAAAAGGCGTAGAATACGAAGGCTGTAAAGCCTTGGGAAAGCTCCTCCATACCTCTTGAGACAACAGTGGTACGATAGGGGACATTGACCACAAAAGGGTTAGCAGAATTTTATATAGTGTAGTTTGAGCACTTCGCCTAGAAAGACTGTTTGGGGCATCTGAGTACAACCGATCTTTGATTGAATCAAAATAGGTTGAAGAAAGAAAACTGTTCATATATTGAAAAATACTTTGAACAACCTTATTGAAAGCGAGGGAGTTGTAATTCTCTTTGACTTCATTCTGAAATTCACTTGTTTTCGCAACAGCTAATTGATCAACACGATGAAGTCGATTATAAACAACTTCGTCTGCCAAAGAAAAATCGCCCAGATTCCCCAAGCAGAATCGACATGTAAGTCTCCATTTTTTTAGCGATTCCCCAACTTGGTTTAGTAAGTTGGGTCCGAGATTTATGTCGTTAGTACTATCACAACTGCCAACCCATAGTCTCAACAAATCTATGCCGTACAACTGCTTTTTTGAGGTAATATTTTTTCCATCCAAAATATCTTCTGGGTCCGTAACATTTCCTAAAGACTTGGATTGTTTCATTCCTTTTTCATCAAAGACAAAACCATGAGTAAATAAAGACTGAAAAGGTGATTCTTTTATGCCAGTAACTGCAAGATAAATCAGAATAAGAGACTGAAACCAACCTCTATGTTGATCACTTCCCTCAAGGCATAAATCTATAAGAGGTTTATCTTTACGAAATGGTACTGTAGTAAAACCACTCCCGGAATCAAACCAAACATCAAGAGTTTCTTTCCCACGAACATAATCTTTATTTCTGAATTCCGGAGGAACCCAATCAATATTTTCATCTTCGTTGAACCAGGCATCAACTCCTTTTACTTTCATCTTGTCTATGATATAAGAAATACTTCTTGAAGTAAGTAATGATTTTCCGGAAGCTTTCTCATAAAGTACAGGAATCGGAAGACCCCAAGAACGTTGTCTTGAAATACACCATTCAGGACGACTGTTCAGAAACCCGGAAAGCCGTGACTTTCCAGTTAGGGGAATCATTTTAACCGATTGAAGAGCTTCAATCGCTTTATCTTTAACAGCTTCCAAAGAAATAAACCATTGAGCAGTTGCTCTCAAAATTAAAGGCTTCCGATTTCGCCAGTCATATGGATAACGGTGTTTATAAGGAGCTAGCTGAACTACCATGCCATTGGCTTTCATAAGCTCAAGAACCTGTTTTCCTCCTTCATTTAACACATTTAAACCAAATAAGGATCCACCCAGAGCATCTTTTGTGTATACGCCATTATCGTCGACGGGAGAAAAAGGGGGAAGAGAATGTTCCAAACCTAGTAGATAATCATCCATTCCGTGTCCCGGAGCAACATGTACAATGCCAGTACCAGTGGTATCAGATACATATTCGGCAGGTAGAAATGGAAACACTTTCCCGGGAATCAAAGGATTTTGATATGTGAGTGATCGAATAGTATCATAGGTACATGTTTCAATTTCTTCAAAACTTTCTAGAATAGGCAATGAATTTACCAAGCTCTTTGCTACAATATACTTCTGTTCACCATTAGAAAAGATTCCATACTCCACTCCTGGATGAAAGGCAAGTGCCAAATTGGAAGGTACAGTCCACGGTGTAGTAGTCCAAATTAAAGCCTTTACATTTTCATATGGTTTTCCTTCCACCGTAAAATTATTCACTGGAAATGAGAAGTAAAGCGAAAAACTAACATGATTATCATTATATTCAATTTCAGACTCAGCAAGGGCAGAACGACTGGATGGACTCCAGTATACAGGCTTTAGCTGTCGAAAAACCATTTCTTTCTCTACCAATGTTTGGAAAACTTGTAATTCTGAAATTTGAAACTCATGGCTCATAGTCGTATATCTGGAAAACCAGTCTCCCATAACTGCCAAACGACGAAAGAGGTTCATCTGACCATTCATGGCATTTTCTGCAAACTCTTTGGCCGTTTTTCGTATCTGACATGGGGATCCTTCTTTATCATTTTGTTGTACCGCTTTCAATTCAATAGGAAGCCCATGACAATCCCATCCGGGAACATACCTGATTTGATAGCCATTTAGCAGTTTCCAGCGATTCACGATATCTTTTAAAATTTTATTCAATGCATGACCGATATGTAACTTTCCATTCGCGTAAGGAGGTCCGTCTAAAAGAACGAAAGATTTTGAAGAGGGGAGGTTCTTCTTCTGCCATGAGTATAAATCATCAGTTATTTCTTTCATATACTTCTTCTCATTTTCACGTTCATCACTTCTAATAGGGAAATTTGTTTTTGGTAAACAAAGCGAATTGGAGTATTTCTTAGCATTCGCTTGTTGACTAAGAAAACGGAGTCCAATTTTCGGTGTTACTAGCCGATTTTCTATATAGGCCTTCATAAATTATATTTATTCAAATTAGCATGTGTGTGCGCTACTTGTTATAGAACAATAGGATCCATCCAAATATTGTGGTAGAAGAGATACAAGCTTAAGACTTGAAAACCTTGTTGCTATTATCCTTCTTACCACATCAAGATAAGAAACTATTCATTCAGTTATTTTAGTTTTTGTTTCTTTGATACCCTTAACTACAAACAAAGTAGAAGTATTCCTATTGCTGAATTATTACAAAGATAGAAACTAGCATGAAGCCTTTCAAGTCTAAATTCCAAAAACTACAAGTATAGTCCTTAAAAGAGATTGCTATCAGTGTATTATTAGCAGGTTCTTTCAAAGGTGTCGTATATCCTTTGATCGTGAAAACTAGTACCACGGCTTCAAAAAAAAAAAAAAAAAAAGAACCCTTATCCTATAGGCTAAGAAATAAATAGATAAATTACTCAAAAACTTTTTTATTAGAAGAAAAAACCTTTAACAACTCATGACTCTGTTCGCCGTTGGATCAGCCTCTCGGCAGCGTCCATGTCAACATGAATTCTTTTCTTTTTACAAAGCCGAAGAATTTCATTATGAGAAACGTAAATTGGCTTTACGACCGCGTTGAATTGACTGCCAAGACGCAAATATTCCAAGTAGGCTGATTGAGCTTGTTCAGAAGAATCAAAAGTTAAATACACTCTATGATCATCTTTCCATGTGATTATCATGGATTCTACAGGAAAATATTTGCGTAAAAGAGATTCCGTCAGATAATAAGCATGTACTTGCAAAATGTACGCTGTAGATGTCCCACACGACGATAGTGAGGGTTTTAATACTTCGACCTCATCTTTACCAGGCATTGATGACATGAAAACTCTGTCTATGATTCAAGGTTTAGAAATTCAGCGATTTTTTCTGTGTCAGAATGCAGTGTCGGTAAAGGGTGAGTGCATGAGTGTAAATAGCAGCATCAAGATAACTTAAATTATGGCATAAACGAAAATATATCCAAGATGTTATAATTTTATATACCAAAAATCTTTAAGCCACTGCTGGTAGGCTCAGTAAAAGCATATGCTAGAATATGTTTTGTAGGATTCCAAGCAAGCTTGTTCAAAGGACCGTTCGTCGGTTGCTTCCAAATTTGTTCACCAGTAAGAGTATCCGCCTAATCATTAGCAAAAAATAAATAATTTTGTCCTTACAATATCGATATAACGATCTTCAGATCCACTTGCCAAAAAGCGGCTATCAAAACTGAAACCCAAAGAACGGATAGGATATCTAATAGAATTTAGTAAATACTGTTGCTTTTAAAATCCTTACGTTGATCTTGTAATGGAACTTTGGCATATCCATTCATCGGTATCCCATAATGTAACGATCGCATCGGCTCCGCCAACAGCTATGCGCTGATTGTCAGGACTAATGTCTATACAATAACAATTTGACGTATGAGCTTTGATTTCATATACTCGTTGGAGAGATGGCCATTCAATGACTTGGACAGTGCCTAAACCGGTAGTCATGAAAAACAAGTCTTCACTAAAGGACCAGCAGCATTCATTTGTCTTTGATAATTAGCTTAGTAAAAAGATAGAATATGAAATACCTCACAAGGTTGCTGGAATGTCTGCATAATTTGCCATTCCCTAGCATCAATGAAGGAAAGCATATCATCCTATGTTTCTTAGTTAGCCAAAGACAAAAAGAAGCATTATTTTTACCCGACTTCCAACGCAGCAATATCGCCCGGAAGGACTCCAACTACCGTAGATGTTGTTGTAATCACTCTGAATTTCCGCAATGGGTTTAGCACCTAGTCAAACGTTAGCAAAGAACCAATATATCAAGAGGATACATACTTCGATAATCCCAAAAGCGAATCGTTTTTCCAGAGTACACGGTCATTAATCGATCAGAATGAGTTGGATCCCATACTACTTGTTCTACTAATCCACTGCTACGTGATCCCAATTCCGTTGAAAACTTAAAGTCTAAACGATCCAGGTTCCAAATACGAACCGTGCTATCATTGGAAGAGGTTGCGAGACGGTGACCTGAAACATTCCATCCTAACGACCGAACTGAACCTTGGTGACCATGTAGGTCGCGAGTTCTTAGTTCTGAAAAGTTTGGCTAAATCAAATTACATGTCAGCTAAATGAAAAAAGAGAAAGTTTCTTACAACTGGCTCTATAATTGAGGAGCTCATAGAAGACAAGCTATGAACCGCTGGTTCGTGACAAGCGTAGTATAGGACACTCTCTAAAGTAAATTTTGGAACTTACATACGACTTAGAAACCCAGCAGCATACAACTGTTCTTCAATGTGAATTAAGAAATCTAATTGAAAATATAATTACAAAAGATAAAGATATATGCATCTATGAAGGTGATTGAATTTGTTCAGTAGACTCATGACCACATTCTGAAAGCGATGGAGAATCCAAAGGATTTATAGATAATTCTTTTTTAAACCATGGATGGTCTAATGCTTCCTTTTCAGAAATCCGCTTCTCGGGGTCTAGTTGAAACATTTGCGTGATCAGGTCGATTCCTTCTGGTGATATTTCATTTTCCAGTAGTGGAGACATAGGGAAATCTGCCTTATTAATAAGTTTGATGGATTCTTCTTGATTTGGTGCTGCAAAAGGTATAGTTGCGGTTAATCTAGTAAGGTATTAGCATCTGCCGGAAGCAAGGATATCACATAGATAGATCCTAGAAAAGAAAGATTTATATACATACGTAACATATAAAACACATCCAAGACTCCAAATGTCTACTTTGTTGTCATACCCACCCTCAGGAGGAGCAGTCTTAGATTGCAATATTTCCGGGGCCAAGTAACCCATAGTTCCGCAAAACGTTTCAAAGAATGTGCCTCTGCCATGAATAACTTTAGCTAAACCAAAATCAGAAAGTTTCAAATGAAAGTCTTTGGTAATCAGAATATTCTAACATGCGCATTAGCTCTATACTTTGAAGGCATATGAAACTGTTAAATATACCTCTGGTTTGATATCTCTGTGCGCAATACCACATTCATGTAAATAAATAAGCGTTTCTAAGATTTCTTTCAATAAAGGTTTACAGTCTTGTTCATCTATTGAACCGTTTGCAATTAGAAAGTCCATAAGATCCCCTCCTTCCACATATTCCATGACAATAAATAGCTCTTCGTCCGTTTCAAAAACTTCCCGACATTGCACAACACCAGGCTAGAAACTATTAGCATTATAAAAATACTTTGAAGCAAACGTCGAATACTTACATGGTGTAATGTTTTCAAAATTTCAATTTCTCGTTGAAACATTTCGGTAGCACGTTTTTCGGAACTGGTGAGTAGGATTTTTTTCTTGTTGATAACTTTGATCGCATAGCATTCGCCGCTCTCTAAATCAACTGCCAGCTTAACCACAGCAAAGGTGCCTGTGCCCAGGGTACGAAGAACTTCGTATCTATTTACGTTCGAAGTAACCAGTTCTTTCCTCATACTCTCTGAACGGTTGTAAGGAATTTGACATAAAAATCCTGCAAGTGTCAGATGCCATATAACTGGTTTCCCCATGGTCAAAGCATAATCTATCTCATACACCATAATATATTCTTTTTCACTTACGAATTTCATCTTTTGGTACTCCTAATCCAACCCGAATCTCATCCCCATGCGACAAAATACTGCGACCATTTTTCGGTAACCTTTCCTGGTATGATGTCAGTAAAAAGCTTAATTATAATACGATTCGCTTACCAAATTCAAAAATGTGCCGTTAGAAGAATGATCTTTATAGACTGTTAGAACATAAAAGAGCAAATCCTTGTTCCATTCAAGTCCTTACCGTGTAGAAATATAACGTTATTTCGGTTTTCAGTTTCACTAGCATGACCCTACCTTGTTTAGCATTGAACGCGAAACACATACGAACTGACGCCAATATCCTACCTCGTAAATTTCAAAGTGAAAATTGCTAATCCTAGGACCTCCTATAACAACTTCACAGGAACGGTGTCGACCAAATCTCCAGAAGCCATTGTGAATATCTCGCGTAAGAGGTATAACTTGTGTTTTCCCGTCGCCCATTCGAGTCATTACCAACTTTAAATAGACATTTTCAGTTTGTGTTGCCAATTCAGAGGGTTTGTCGGACTCATTCACGGGAGTCACTTGTGTAGCCTGCGTAGCATCATCTACATCTTCCATTGTGTACAGAAGGAAACTTTTACTAACTCAAAAATCCTCACTTTAAATTGCAAAAAAAAACAAAAATTTACAATGCGAGAATGTTCAGAATCTCCTGATGATGATATGATTTTTTCAACGTGGATGTCAAAGATGAACCTTGGTCTGAACTGACCACATATTGAGATTTACTATATAGAGAACTCCTGTTGCAAAGCTTTATATACGATAAGGCATCCTTTAAAAGTGTCTAATATCACTTAACGTGCTTGTCCACAAACCAGCGATGTTATTAAGTATCAAGAAAAGTAGATTTTTCCTATATTCAAGTATCCTTTTTTTCTTCATTGTTATATATTAGTTTCTTTTTTCCAAACGAACTTGTTGTTCGTTAGTTGATGGTTTATAATTCTTGCGAACTGCAAACCCTTTAAAGAGTAGAATTCAGATTGTAACACTCATTGCTTTTTCATAGTAAAAATCGCTTGCTTTTATGTTAATTATAGGATTGACAGGATCCATTGCTACTGGTAATGATAAAATTGACTTCAAAAAATTATTAATATGGAGTGTGTTTAGGGAAGACAACGGTTTCCAAGCAGTTTCATGAGAAATACCATGTTCCGGTAATTGACGCTGATATTCTTGCAAGAAAAGCTGTTGAGCCGGGTACGAAATGTCTACGGCAAATTCGAAAAGAATTTGGCCAACAGGTTATTCTCCCTGACGGTACACTGAATCGACCTGAACTAGGCAAGATTATTTTTGAGACTCCTTCAAAGCGTAAACTTTTGAATTCGATTGTTCATCCTGCCGTTAGGAAGGCCATGCTGAAAGACATACTTTATTATTACATAACTGGCCATGGCATGGTCATACTCGATATTCCACTATTGTTTGAAGCCAAAATGCACACTATATGTTGGAAAACCATTTGCGTTGCTTCTACGACAGAAATACAAAAACAGCGATTGTTGAAGCGAAATCCTGAATATTCTTCTGAAGACGCCGACCGGCGCATTCAATCTCAAACACCCATTCAAGACAAGGAGACCCTTGCTGACTTTGTCATTGATAATAACTCAGATTTCAACTCTCTTTCTCAAAATATTCATGCAACCTTTGTTAAAATGCAACCTTCCTCCATGTGGACCCTAAGCTGCCTTATAATACCTGCCTTGCAACTTCTTATGCAATTCTATTATTATTATCGCCAAATGCAAAAGGCAACGAACCAGAAGAAAATCCATTTAACCCAATAAACATAGACCAAACCAAACTCGATCACTAAGAATTCAACTCCCTTAAACCTGGGTTGTTTCTAGTGCCGAGCGAGCGTGACTTGATAGGACATTAGGCGTAAATAAAATATGTATGCAGCTTCCATCTTGTATGGAGAACTTGTAGACAGTAAAGAATGATACAGCTAAAAAAATGATTACCTAGATTTCTAAATCTTTTTAAGCTCATTTTGATATTTCTTTTTTTTTATTCATTAGTCTTCGTTTTATATTTAAAAGGCATAAACGATAGTTTATATTCTGTCTCTAAAAGGCATACATCTCTCCCTACCCTTTTCCAACACCAATTAGTAGACGGTCTTATCCAGCCAAATTTTGGCAAAATGGATGCTTCTACGATTGATTTAGATGCTGGTTCGTGTCTCATTTTATAATTGTATACTAATTTCTTCAGAAATCCGGAATTTGGGGAAAATTCTCATTGAGCATCCTGCTCATGTGGAAAAAGTTCTTCACACTTTAGAGTTGGATAATTCGGCTCTACGGTACATTGATGCGATTCTAAACAGCCATATAAAGCAACTGTATCGTAATTTATCCTCTAATTCTCCTCTACATACTCTCTCAACCTTGAGAGCAATGGCCTCATGGAACAATGGGGTTGCTTGTAGTCGAGTTTTCCAAGCCTTTGACTGGAGTAGTAAAGTGTTTACGAAGATGTTGCAACTTTCTAATCAAATGAACTCTTCAAAACGAAACGTCAAACGTATGCGTTTTGCGTCTTCCAAGAAACGTTCCTCTTTCATCTTCCTGTTAATTACATTGATTCGATACGGTACTCAAGAGGTGCGCACGGAGCTCATCAACACAAAAAATATAACTACTCCCTTATTTAAAGGAATCTGTAACGATGAACCGATTGTTTTGAAAGATCTTTTACAGACTTGGCTTACATACATAATCTTAGATCGTAATGTGAATAGAGCTACAAAAATTTTCTATTTTAATGAGTGGTCTTTGAACTGCATTCTAAGTCTATATTCGCGAGAAGAAGAAATCAATGGGGTTCCTTTGTACGAGCTTGTTCACAAATTTTTTCTTCGGGCTTGCACTGTTCCTGGAGAAGGTCTTTGTTTTTTCTCAATGGGATGGCACGCTCCTCTGAAATTTGAAGCTAATAAGAGCGTTTATAACCGCGTTCTCCAGTCCCTTCTGCCTTCACTACATATATACACCGATCCTTTGCAGCGGGAGCTTTGTTTAAAAATATTGAGTGCATGTCCTGATATATCTGCCTCCTTTTTGGAAAGAAATAGCTTGAATACTGAGGCGACACTAAGCTCTCAATGGATTTGCTTCACCTCCTTCCTTCAAACTTTTCTAAACATGGACTTGCCTGAACCCTTTTTTCATCCTGAAACCAAGTCCACTCCTTCTATTCATAGTATTGTTGAGAATGTTTTACCGGCATCGTTTTCAAAGCCTTTAATGTTGAAAGCTTTGAATAGTTCAGATAAACTTGTCTGCTACCTAGGCTTGAATACTTTATTATCGGCCTTCAAGAGATTAAAAGCAGTTTTGGCGACTATTGACAAATCTGAATTAAGTTCTGAACGAAAAATCTCGTTAACTGCATTAATTACTGATGTTATCTCCAATCGCCTTCCTGATGCGCAATTATTCATTCAGCTTTACACGACAAGTAAGCAAGAACTGTTGACAGATGCTGTTTCGAAAGTTATTCTATATTTTTATCTTTTTTTCCCAGAAACTGTCTTGAAACTCAAAATCAGCAGCAATGTTTTCTTGGGCATTGACTTCTCATCATTTTCTATCGATCGTCCTTTCTCCCGTTCTCACTTACAGAGCATTGTTCAAATCCTACAGTTTCTACCTGATATTAAGTGGTTTGAGCTGTCCAATTCCCCGTTTATTTTCCTGACTTCTCTTTACCTAAGGTCTGAGTACTCTCAGTTGAAGGATGCTGTCGTTAAAGTTCTGGAAGATGCTTTAGCCGAAACTGATATTGTCTCGCCATGTCTTTTAGTATCTCCCATTATACCTATGTTACAAGCTTTGGAAGCTATACCTGGTGAACATGTTGACTCTGTCCTCCAGTACGCCAATGCATGCATAAACCGTTGTACATCTCGTGTTTATGCATATTTAGATGCATCCATAAGCTATTGCAAGGAATCACTGTTAGATTATCAAGATGGAATGGTCCCGCCGTTTTCTCCGATTTCGATAGTGCTTGTTGAGCAGGTACCATTTCTCCTGAAAGACACCTCGGTTAGTCAAGATGCTAAGTTATGTATTTTAAGTTGGATTTTCAAATCCTTAATTTTTTTCGGCTGCTGTGGTGAGTCTTTCGAATGCCTCTCGAAATTATTTAAAGGATTAATTAGTGTTATGGCTGACTATGACTTTGCTGCAAGCCATACCAATGCTTTTAGCCAAACCATCGAGAAGTTGGCAGGGAATAAGGAATTGGAAGAGTCATTACCAAATTTAGACTTGCTATCATCGCTTTTGTTGACTAACGAGGATTCATTTTGGAAAATCGTTTCGACTCAGTTTTCTATTCAGCCAAGGTTTGCTCTTCTTTATTTTTCTATTCTGCTAAAGAAACTTGCTATTTTGTTGATCAACGGTAAACCAGACATGAAGCCTCTTCTCGGATTACTTTCAGAAAATGTACAATTATTTTTGGATTTAGTGGATGATCATTTATACTTAAATCTGAAAAATATTTTTTCTAGTCCTGTAAACTTACAAAGTTTTGTCATGCATCCTGATTACACTGAATTTAATTTGCAGTATGCCGATCTTCTTTATGTAACCGATGCGTTTAATACTGAAGGCTACATTAGCAAATTCTCCTTTCAAGAAACGAAAGATCTATTCAATCATCCACGAGAAGACGATCTATGGAAAATGCCTCTCCTTGCTAAGTATATGGAGCTGTGGTCTCACGATCAAATTGGCAGTGTCTGCCAAACTATCGACTTGTTCATCCAAGAGCACACTCTGTTCGTCAATCAACACTGCTGCAGCATTTCACCAGTGCTGTCAAAGTATATTAGTTATGTATCGACATGTAAACAAGAATTGTCTGAGCAAACTTTTGAGGTGCTGCTCAAAAATTCTTTGACGCAATTCACGGAATTATCGATATCTTTAAGTGAACATATTTGCCAGTTGAAGGAACGTTTTAGTGAAGCTTGCATGATAAAGGCTTCAGAGACATTAGAATCTGTATTACTTGAGGGTTGTGACGATATAAGAGTAAATATTATATGCTCTCTTATAAACACGTCATCTGAAATTGCGTCTAGGTTATGGAAGCTTTTCCTTTCTAACAGAGCGCTCGGTAGTCAACTCTGTAAAGAATATATCGGGTTATATAGCGTTTTGGCTCAGAAAGTTGATACCAATCATGTTCCTTTGAACGAAGTTGAAGAATGGTGTACGTTTATCCTCGAAATGAATAGAGAATACATTCTAAATAATTTATCGATCCTTGCTATTGCGTTCCCTATGGTTTCGTTGGGCAGGGTGAAACCCTCCTTGATTGACGAAACTATGTCTAAGCTATCGGAGGATTACCTACCGTATGAAATTTTTGAACTCTTGAGAATTATTACTTCAAAGAACGAAGTCTCTTCATCAAAAGTCGCCAACGTATGCTCTGATATTTTATTGTTGTTGACTCGTGTCTTTTCAAGTAATGATGGATTGGACAAGAATGTGTCTTCATTTGTTGATTACTTTGGTGTTTATTTGGTTGACAATTCAGAAAGTGTGAAAAACGTAATTAGCAAAACAGTTATAGACAACTTTTTGGAATCAACTCTAAGACATCTTCAGTGTAAGTCAATATTGGAATTCAATCTTAAAGTCTTGTTTTCTGTACAAACAGGACAATGCAATTCCTCAAAGATTTTGCAAATGATATTGGCACATGAGGGCAATCCTTTGTTGTTGGAGGATTCTTCTAATGACAATAAGTCACTTATTGCTGCTACCATTTGTAAGCTTACGATAATGGGCAATAACTACTCATTATCGATTATGGATCAGATTATTCGCTTATTCAAAGGTCGATACACACTCCATGACTCAATCCTCTGCGAGCTTCTGCGATATATGGAAGAAAGACTTAACGTTAGCATCGCCAGTCGTTACAAAGGTTGGGTTATCACGAATGATGAGGACGTAATAACAATGTCTATAAAGGATAGATCTTCGGTTTTAGAGCCACGAGTGGCTTTGGAAAGTATTCATCATTATCCTTCAGATTATATTCCGATTCAACTGGAATCGTTACAAAATTTGGAAATATGCGAAAAACTTTTGAAGGCATCAGAATTTGAATGGAATGAAAAAATTTATCATCCACTTTTTGCATTGGGTGTTGTTGGAGCATTATATCATACAAATCCACAAGTCTCTAATATGCAAGTTATATTGCAGCAACACTTTTTTGGATTAATATTAATGGGTCTTTCACTGCATAATGAACAGTTACGAGCTGCTAGTTTTCATTTCATTCAGCATTTCCTTTTGGGATTAGAAGATCAAAAGCTTCGTGAAAGGCACCTCGTTAAGCTAGTACTCTCAAGTGTGATTGTTAATGTTTCTTCTCCAAGTCAGAGATTAAGCACATTAATGGCGAATTTTTATGCTCAGAGTATTAGTATAATTATGCGGCCATCCCATCACATGTTTTTAGGTATCAATCGGTATTTTTTGCAAAGACAACACATTGATACTGCGGATATCCCTATGTTTTATGAATTATTATACCCTTCTTCCGATTACACAAAGTGTCTTTCTTGGTTATTGTCATTGTTACTGGCAGGCTTACAGAAAGGTGAAGATCTAAAGCTATACCTTCGTCGTCATGTATTCGAAACAATATCTACATTGTATGAATCTTGTGTGGTGAATAAAGAGATACGAGAAGCCATTTCGAAAATCCTTTTAAGGGTAGAGGCATTAGGTGCTGGTGGTATCTTAAAAAAGCATAATGCTGTGTACTCCTTACTGCAGTTACTTCCGCAGAATGAAAATACGCTACAATCGAAATCACTAAACATAGCAGAAGCCTAAAAAGGAAAGGAAAAATCTAAGTCGTTTTGTTATGGGAATCCGGTTACGTACAAATAATAGAACTTGAAAAAAAATTTTGCTTACTCAATAAAAGAATAAAAGGATATGGAAGGATTTATTATAGAACTACAAACGTGGATAAAATTCATGAAACCATAGAGAAATCGATTTGGAAGAAACTAGTGTATGCGCTTAATTCTATCATTATAAAAGTAACAAATAAGGCCAAAAGGAAGACAGGGAAGTTTGAGAGAAGGAAAAGAAGGAAGGATCATAGAAGTGTAGAAAGCTTTTTAAAGACCGTAACGAGCAGCCATTTCGTTTTGAAAAGTCATTTCCATTGGGGCTTGGCTAGTGTATATATCAGTTTCGTCTAAGCAAGCTTCACGGTTGGCAAGGATATCTGCATGAAAGTTACTAGGACCACCCAAAGCCATAGGTCGGACGCTCTAAATAAACAAGTTAGCAAAACAAGTTTTGTTCCTAGAAGCAAACAACGATTCCATAAATTCTGCAAAAAAATTTCCAAGTTTATTAAAGTTAAACGTAAGTTTTAAGAACATTCTTCTTAGAAATTCTGGATTCAATCACTAGGATTCAATCACTATTTTATTTACTTACCTGAGTCGACAAGCGCAATTCCATTTCACGACGAACGGGCTCGTGCAAACCATAGATACGACGCATACTATCCAATCGAACTTGTCTTTGTTGAGCTTCCCAGTTGGCAAGGCGATTTTCCAGAGGATGTTTATTTTCTGATTCGTTAACTGTAGGGCCGTGAGGGCTCAAAACAGACAGTTTGTAATCTCCAGAAACATTGGAGGGCACATTTGATTCAGGAACAATCTGCATGGTTGAATTCTTAAGTTACAGAATATTCTTTGAACAGACTCGATGGTGGTGGTTATTGGAGAAATTCACAGTACGCTTCGCTTTCGAGTCTTCAGAAGGGCTTGTCACTTGTTGATGATGTCTGTTACTTGGTTCGTTGAGCATTACCCTTCCTGTACAAGAACGCGAAAAGGTACCTTGACACAAACAGATAAGGAGGAACTTGGCCACAACCAAAATAGAGACGAATTTTAAAGTAGAGTATTTGGAAAAGAAAGGGGAAAGGAGACATCATAATGTCTCAAGTGATTCAGTATTCTGAAGCGGATTTGCTGTATCTGTCTAAATCGCCGCTTATAAAAAAACCAGAAAATTTACCAGAATGGATACTGTATGTAGTTTTGTGTAATATTTTTGAGAATCAATATGCTATAAATATAAAATGCATCTTTTCCGGGCTTTATTAACACATGTTTAGTCCAGAGGCTATGAAAGCGGATCGTGAGCGACATATTCGTCAGGAGAAGGAAATGAAAAGGTATGAAGGGATTTTAGGGTCGTGCAAATATTGAATTGGGATTTGCTTTCCGTAAGATTGAATGCAGTAACAACTAACTTAAGTTTTCGCAGTAAACATGATGATGAGGGAAGACAAATGCAAGCAGAACGAAAATTTGCCAAATCAAGTAAGTTTTATCTTTTTTAGGATGGTGTGGTGAAGAGGGATGATGATCTTTTCCACGGTGTCTGAATGAACCATCCTTTTTCTTTTTCATAAAGGTGGGACAAGTTAAACTAACCCGTAGAACACGAAGATATCATCCTTGGGCCTCCAAAACTCAGTTTTGCAAGCAGCAATGAAAATGGCCGCTCTATCGGTCGTCATGATGATTTATTATCTTTAGGAAACGTTTATAGTGGATCTACATCAGTGCGCCATCGAAATGGAATGGGAGGGCCTGCATCAAAAAATGGTGCTTTAAACAATATCGGGTCGACGTCATCGGCTTGGACAAGTCTAAACAAGCATGGTCGTAAAAAGGATTTTGATCGTCGAGACGATAATGAAGGTTTAGAGCGGTTAACGAAACAAAGAGCCAGTGCTAGTGCTGCAAGTCCTTTGATCCCCAATTCCACTGAAGAATTTGAAGCATGGAAGCGTATGATGAAAGCTTCAACGAATTCAGTTGAGTCTCCAATCACTTCGGGAATGCCAGCTGTTGCCCACGTGGCATCACAAAAGCCTGTTCCTTCCCTTTCGAGGGCTGCTTCTGGTTCAGGATCTTCGCTTTCCGCTCGTGGAAATGTTAGCGTTGACTCTCTTTTTGGAAAGCGCTCGGCTGCCCCGTCTGTTGCTACCGTCGCACCTCCCGTTGGAACTCCTGGTGGTACGCCCCCGCGGTTTGCCTCTCCTGCTCTTGGATTGGAAACAGCAGCTCATGTTGCTCCTCCTACTACTTCATCAAGATTCAGCAAATTCTTCAATGGACTGAGTGGTCCGGAAGTATCAAAACAACCGACGCCATCAGCATCCCACACGGCTTCTCCGAAGGTTAATAATGCTCCTGCTGTTCCTTCTGCTGCCCTTGATAAAGATGCAGAGGGGTTCCAACGTGTCCTTGCAATGCTAGGACGTCAAACACCTAGTGCATCTGCCTCTCCTAGAGTTCCCGTGACTCAGCCATCTGCTACTCCTATTCCTCCTGGTGCTAATAATGCTAATCCAGTTGCCATGTCTACAATGTCTTCTCTTGCTTCTCCTACTGCTTCCGTTGCTCCTCCTCCGGGATTGGGCGGTCATGCTCTTTCTAATGAAGATGCTTCGTTTTTCCGTTCTCTTATTCATTCTGATACCAGGCCCATTCCTCCACCACCGGGATTCTCCACAAATGCTATGAGTTCTATGAATTCCCCTGACGAATTTGTCTCCAATCCTCCTGGTTTTTACAATCACTATCCAGTGGGACCCGCAGCACCTATAAACTCTGTACCAGCCCCCGCTCCTCCTCCTGGTTTTGGGTTTCAACAGCCTCCACTTCCATATTCACCAGGATTTTCTCCTAACATGTATGGTCAATCACGTATGTCAGGCCATCCTCTCCCTGACCTTTCAAGAACTTCTCACTGAACCTTTGCTTTTTAAGACAAAGAAAGTTTGTAAGAGTTAGATAGTAATGAAGTCGCAAAGAAAGGTTTTATATGGATATTATGAAGGTATTTTAGGGAATTATTAAAGCAATGAAATCTGCACATGTCTTGAAGTATGATAATATCTAGTAGAGAACTACTGGTTTCCTTAATAAGTGGTTGGTATATCTGTTTTCACCAAAGGATTACTTATTTGCAGAGATAAACAAATAAATGTAGAATAATTTAATGTTATTGAAGCGTACTTGAGCTAAGCATGTGGGAAAGTAATCTCCATATAAACGTGCACAAGGAAGTTGTGACATTGTAACATATCGAAGGTTTCTTTACATTTCTTACGTTGTTTTCGTTTATAATTGTAAGAAGAAGTCAAGGAAGGAATATGACTATGGATAGTTGTCGGCGACCACATATTTCTATTTCTTATCATTATCGTACTAAGCAGTCTTTTTCTGTTGAAAATCTTAGAAATAAGCTACAGATTGAAACGTCGTGATAATATTATATTTCTACATGGTATATTTAGCTACTTACTAGAATTTGGAGAATTATATATAGTTCTTAGATCCCGGATCTTGTACGTAATCAAGCCTTGATATTTCTTTCTATTTGGAAGTGTACATTGATTTACCACGTAGATTTCAACTGAAGTTTAACCCTTCGTTTCGATGAAAACTGTATGGAAAGCTACTGATTCCACACTTTGTTTACTAGTGTACTCCAAGGCAAAATGCGACTAACGTTGTAGTAATCTGGTAACGAAACGTAAGCGATTCGGCTACTTTGTGTATGTTTACTTGAGTTCCATCAAGAGACGCTACCTACACTTAGATTAGATGCAAAATCCACCTCAAACGGAACCAATCCATCATGTTCAGTGGTTCTATTTATCCAATTTTGACCTCTACGATGAAACATCATGCATGGAGGCGCCTGAGCCGCAGCGCTGGCGTAGATTTTTGAATCATGACAATCGCGCGTTGGAAGCAAAGCACCAGGAAATCAACGATGCGAATGTTTCGCAAGAACCTAATCAAAAAAATGTAAGAAAAGGTAGATGCAACGTTTGCTGACTATTAGGTAATTGTGGGAGTATCAGGTCTACATGTTGTGAATTTACCAACACTAACATTGAAACCCTTGTATTGGCCTAGTAGCCGTAGAAACGACACTCTTCGTGTTGTCCGCGGGTTTTGGATGTATGAGGATACTGGATTGCCAGTGATCGATGAGTTGGCCGAAATTTTGGAAGAAGGATATCAGCGGATTAAGCCATATAACATAAATTGGGACAAGTTAGAAAATGATATAGTAGATGAAAACCAAGAGAGATCGAGTATTTTTTCTTCTGGAAGACGAAAGTCTTCTAAGGACACGATAAGCCATTTGCAATGGGCATTGAAGCCTCATTCTTCTGGAAAGTATGTCTTATATGAAGATGGGTATCGAGCACTCTTATGCCAGGGAGGATTGCTTTCTTATTTCTCGAAAGGAACGCAGTCTCAGCGCACTGGTCTGAAAGGAATTCCGGTAATTCGAGACTTCCCCGTGAAAGAAGACGATGGCTTCCGCGGTTTAAAGCAGGTAACTGATCTCTTTTTGGTTGTCCATGGAATTGGTCAGAAGAGATCTGAAACTGGTAAGACAATGCTTGTTTACAATGCGTACTGTTTACTAATGATTTATTTTCGCAAAAGAGGAACGCTATCAATTTACTAAAACGTGTAATGTGTTTCGATCGTTAATTCAAAAGCAAAAACTAATTATGAAACAAAATCCTTTGTTACGAGATGATTATGAACCTCAATTGCTGCCCATCTGCTGGAGGAACAAGATTAATTTTGACTCGTTCTTCCAGGTTACTGAGGACGACGAAGAAAGCGACGATGTTGATGGTAACCGATTCCACATTGAAGATATTGAAATTGATAGCATTCCAACTGTTCGTCGACTTTTTGGGGATGTGATGAGTGATATCCCTTACTATATGTCTCACCATAAAGATTCCATCATTCGCTCTGTCATTCGAGAAGCGAATCGAGTCTACGATTTATGGATAGATTGTAATCCTTATTTTAAAGAAAATAAAGGAAGGATCTTTATTATTGGGCATTCTTTAGGTGCTACCGTTGTTTTTGATATTTTATCACTTCAACCTACGTTCGTAAAGGAGCTTGGCCCCGAAATAGAAGACGATAAATATTTTAAGTTTGACACAAATGGATTTTTCTGTTTTGGTGGGCCTATAGGATTTTTCCTTTTACTCAATCAAAAAAGTATGATTCCCAGGAGAGGACGCGGGTCTAGCCATTTTGCTGATAATGCAAACTATATTAACAAAAATGTTTCGGATTCTTACGCATATTCCGGAAACGACCGCTACGGGTGTTTGGCAGTGGATTCCTTTTACAACATTTACAACTTTCTCGATCGTATGTGTCTTCATTTTACCATTACTAACCTTGAAACAGCTATCGCCATGCGTTTAAATCCTACAGTCGACGTGAATTATTCGAAAGGTATCCATCCCTCTAAACTCGTTTTTCTTCGAAAACCTTCCAGTATCTTAAGAGTCGTTTCTCGGCCAAATGATGCACCTGTTCGACTAGTTAGTTATCAACAGGCACTCAATCAGTCAAACTCTGAAGATAATGAAAGCTCTTCTGTATTGATGGATTCAGAACGGGATATAGAACTCGAAACGCGAAATTTCAAGCAAGAAAAACGAGCAAAATGGAGAATGCAAGAGTTAAATGAGAATGCCCAAATTGACTACGTTTTTACAAGTCAGAAAGGTATCATTTCGAACAAATATTTAACGATGTTATCCGCGCATACCAGTTACTGGAATAATGAAGACTTGGTCTGTTTCTTAGTTGTCGAAACAGCCAGGAAATTTGGAATCGCTAATTCCATTGAACAATTTCGAGGAAAGCGTGTATCTCACGATAATGCTTCTACATTGTAACACCGATGACACTTATAATGGCTGATGATGTTTTCAAATTTACATCTTGCTTTTCTTCTAGCGATGGGAGATCTAAGAATGAGGCATTACTTACTATTGAATTGTTTAACGAGTTATAAGTTTTCAATCACTCAGGATATATTTTTGATGATGTTTTTTCAAGCTACATTTATCCCTATGTCACCCTCAAATCAAGGATGAGACTTTTCTAAATTTGAAAAATGTTTGCTAAAGTGCACAGATATTTATTACCTAAATTGTATACGACTAGATTTAATTTATGAGATAATTAATTTGACAATCAACCATATGAAAATTGGACTGTGCTTTGAAATGTTGATTCAAAATTCAGAGAAACAAAAAATTTTAAGTAAAATTATAATAAAGGTAGCTTTGATGCAGTGTTTGAAACGAAAGGAAGTCTTCGTCAATTTAGGATACGCTTATTTAGTTGTGATATACCAAAGTTTACAACACTGTTGCTTTTTACAAAATTCAAGGTTATGAGCGGTTATGAGAATGCAGATGAGTTACTTGATCTTTTAAGAAAGCAAACTACTGGCTTAGTTCATTTGGAAGATTATCGACGGGTAAAACAAGGAATTGCTGAAAAAAAAGAAAAGGATGCACTTTCACAGACAAATCAAAAGATGTATGAGCAAAAGCCCAAATAATATTATTTGGAAAAGGTTAAAATAGTCCTAACATAGTCTAGCAAAAAGAAAAAAGGTGTTTTGAGTAAAAATGTGAAGAAGCAGTTGCAACTAAATAAGGGCAAATTGTCATTTGGACAGGAAGAAACTGAAGAAGAAACAGACGATAGAATTCAAGAAATAACTTTAAAAAAGAAACATATTGGAAAGGATCCTACTGCTAATACCTCGTTTTTACCAGACGCTGAAAGGGAAGCTTTAGAGGAAGCAAGGAAAGAAGAATACCGGAAACAATGGTTAGAAGAACAGGAGAGAATCAAGGAGGAAGAAATTTTGATTCCTTTTCTATACTATGATGGTACCACTACTCGATATAGTGTTAGGATTCGCCTGAAAGATTCGGTAGGTCACATACTGTCTAATATGAAAGATCAAATCCCAGGTCTAAAACGCGTCTTGGATATGGATAAATTCCTTTTAGTTCAATCTGATTTGATTATCCCTCATGTACGTCAATTTGACTAGAGGACGACTTGTTAACTTTTACATTTAGCATCACGAGTTGTATTACTTTTATCTGAACAAAGTCCAGGGCCCAAACGGAGCTCTGTTTGACTTTGACGCTTTGCGATGCCAAAATTCAGAGGTGGCAGCAACTCTGCAGTTGCCAGAAGTACGTGTATATGAGTTTTGAACGTGATCATTGAATTGTTTTGGCTAATTTTTTTTTTACAGAGGAAGATCCCTCATTTAGTTCTTAAGTCGTTTTATATGGAATATAGACATGTCTTTCCGTGCAATTGTTGGGAGATGTTTGACTCTAGGAAAAACGTAAGATGAATGACTTCTTTTTGGACGATTTAACTAATACATTTAGTATTCTCAGCAAAGAAATGAAGTCAACCCAAATGCTGCATTATTCTACAGAACAGGTTGACAAAGTTGACGAAAAAACTAGAAGATGATGTCCGTTCTAATTATATAAGTAATTATTTATTGCTATTCCTTTATGCTTTTTGGATGAAACTTGAATTGTTGAAGGATAGGTGAAATCAAAAATATCTGAAGTTAATTATACAACCACTGCAGCAAATAAAGATATGAAATGAATGACACCAAAGTATTTGAATAGAGAATTTTTAAACTTTGGCAAGTTCTTTTCACTGCTTTGTGGATTCTCATATGGATAAGCATGTATATATATCCATGTGATTGAAGGACCTCGAGGTGAATGAATCTTCAGTTTGTATCATGTCTACTCTTTGAGGAAAGCATTTTACTTGTTCTTAATTGGAGCTCTCTCCTTGATTTTTCAGAAGAAAAAAAAAAAGTTAAAGCCAACAAAAGTCAGAAAGCGTCCATTAGCTTTCATGATAACTTAATACAAAACCTTTGCTACGTTAGAAGCAAAAATATATGCAAACATTGATCAATTAGAGATTAGACATCAAGAATGTACTTACTTTTAGAACAATTGCAATAAGAGCATGCTTCATCGTTTGCAATCTTTGAATGGAATCTTTACGAATCTCTTCAATTTTAAAACTTAGATGCTTGTTAAACCAACCTTATGCTGTTTTTGACCCTTAGCAACAAATCTAAACAAATATCATATTGTCTGAAATGCTATACCGATATTTTTTAAGACAATCGAGTACAAATCAAGCTACTTACTATAGAACGATACCAGTTTGGCCAAAGTAACCTATTCCATTCCAGCTGGTTGAGATGCAGAAAAACATCCATCCGCTCGTCGCTGAAAATGCGGCTCATAATCAAAGGGTATGTTGGCTATATAATTTCTTCTATGCTAATTCTCATTTCATGCAGGTGGTATCATTCATTCGAAATATGACATTAAGCGTTTTTGGCTGTTCTGCGGGCATTCTAGGCTTAACTTCTTATTCTGGCGTTCTGTTTTACCTCTTCAGCTATCTATTCGTCTCGTTTCTAATATATGTGATTAAGATGGGTAGTAAAATTGGTGAGTATTACCAACCAGCTTCCAAGTTTTGGTATGCAAAGGTATTCGAGGGTATTCCTTCATTTGTCCTGTTTTGGACTCTTTTCTACAGCCTCGTTTACGGTATGTTTTTCGGCTGATGCGAATGAATGGTTACAAATTCCATGTCCTAAACATGGATATCCTATTGATTCTCTATCACTCAATTGATTGAGTTAATCTTCATGCTAACCATGAATTAGTTTATGAATAGAGTTATTCTGAAGAAATTAATACGCAAATTCTTTATGATGGGACCCTTGAATACTTTCTATCTTCACTCTTTATCGGACGTCTGATATAGTTTGTACGGTCAATCCATTCATTGAAACGACATTTCTGCATTTTGAAAGGTACTTCTGTTCTTTATTTACATATCTTCACCTTTCTTTTCCTAAGAAACTCAATCCCTTTCTAAAAAACTATGATGAATATGAAATACTTTGTCGAAATTCATAAATCCATCTACTACGTTTTGCCCACAGATGAAGTAAATGAAGCGCAAATCATAAATAATATTCAAAGAACATGAAAATGTATCTGATTTTTCTTAACCAGATAGATTTATAAATAACATTATCTTAAAGTATTAACCCACACAAGACTTCTTTTACGTTTTTATAATAAAAAAATTGAAAAGACAATAAAGTGGATCGATAAAAATCCATTAACTTAAATAGCATAATGATTATTAATAATGTCCCATCCGAAATAGATGGTCATAAACAGAAGAAAAAAAAAAGCAACAGAAAAAAAAAGGGACTTAACAGAACGCGGTAAATTACATATAATAAATACCTCTTAAGCAACCATTCAACCCGTTTTTCAGTTATGTGAGTGCTTACCGTTTGACATGAGGATATGGAGAGCCTTCGGGAGACACAAGGTTATGAAGATGGGTAGGAGAACGAATCACTTTGTTATTTTCCATATAGCACATGGAAATGCTTGCAACCCACTCATCAGCGAACACTTCATGGACATCATATCTTTTAATCGGATCCAACTCTAACATATGCAACACGACTGCACGAGTATCGCGGGGCAATAAACGCAGCAACCTCCATGGTCCGTACACTTCTTCTTTGCCGCTGATAACCGCATGGTGTTCAGATGCGCGTTGCTGTACATCTGGCGTTTTATAGGTCGGAGGACCCACGTCGACTAATCCACTCTCTTTAATTTCTTTCAAAGCTTCATCCTCAGAAAAATTTCCTTGTGTAGGAGGTCGCATGCAAAATAAACGGAAGGAATTATCGGTTAGTTTTGGGTATTTCCACGGGAATCTACGAAGCGCCATACAGCAAAAGATAATCGCACAAGACCATATATCAACAGAACGAGGATCGTACAATTTTTTGGTTAATGTTTCTGGAGCGAGATACGGATCAGAACCAACCACACCAGTCGCCTCCACAATATCCGCTTCGAATGGGTATTTAAATACCACAGCACTTCCAAAATCAATGATTTTCACGTTACAATTTTCATCAACAACGAGATTGTCAAGCTTTAAATCACGATGGGCAAGTCCCATGGAATGCAAATAAGCGACACCAGAAAGAAGTTGCTTAAAACAGCAAAAGATCTCAGGCATTGTCATTTGTCCACTCATGACAATCGAAAACATATCGTACGGTGCATATTCCATAACCTCATAAAATTTCTTATTTTCTTCTATAATATCCAGAGTTTCAATGATATTTGTATGGTGAAGAGCACTGCCAACACAAAATTCAGCAGTAACCTTTCTGGCATACTCACGCTCCGATTCGGATGGTCTGCGAGAACGAAATTCCTTGACGGCAAATATCTTTCCATCAGAAGAACGTTTCATAATGCGAACCGAACCACCAGCACCTGAGCCTAAGATGCGGCCAAATTTGCCATACTTCTTAAACAAACCGAAATGATCGTCTTCGATATTACTGCTTGATTTCGACTTGGAAACGCTTTTCTTATCAGACTTTTGGTGAGATTTGAAAAAACGACGTAAATCTAATGAACTGTGGTGTTTTTCATGCTTGTCATGTTTATCGTGTTTGTCATGTTTATCGTGCTTGTCATGCGAATGCAGTAACGATTTCAGAGACAGCGAGCTCGAGCTGTTGTTGTGGTGATTATGGTGGTGATGATGATGATGCTTGTGGTCTGGTTTTTTGAAAATAAACTGGGACGGAATGTCGCGAGGATCACTTTTGGTCGGGGCTCTACGGGTTCGACGATAAGGATCATTGGGATCACCAATTAAATCCTCTGAAGATGGAAATTCATGAGCAACTTTGAGATAACTGGGAGAAGAAGGTTTGTACTCATGATGATTTTCATCGGAATCATCTTCATTACTCGGTGATAACAAACCGGACCTAGAAAGAGAAGGAAGGAAGAGGGGGCTATTTCCAGGGCGAAAGACAGCTGAGGACTGAGAGGACGTATGGTCGTTCTCATCCGCCTCATCGTCTGAAGGAATTTGCGAGTTGGGAATTGAAATCGGTTCAAAGTTTTTTGCGGAGGAGGACCGGTAACGGTCTTCGGCAAGTTTAGGATCAATGTGGTCTTTTACTTGTATAGGAGACTGAACACGGGGCAAAGGATGATTAGGCTCATGAGAGTTTTCAACAGAGTTTTCAACATCTTCGAGGCCAAATGGTGCAGTCTCGCTTTGAATTGAAGACTTTGGGATGTCCTTTACTTGAACCTTATCTTGGAACGATTTTTCTAAAGGGGAAGATTCGTCTAAGAAGGGTTCGTTAGTATAACCAGAATTAAATATACAAGGAAAAAAACGTACCGGAATGTTCATCCTGAAGAGAGAATTTCGGAGCAGACCGTATATCAGACATATTGTAGACAGCGATCATATATGAGTGGCAGAAAATAATTACTGCAAGGAATCAATTGCAACAAATTATAAGTCGCGATTCAGAGAAGGGGAAAAAGTAATCTAAGGAGAGAGGGAAAATCAAAAAAAAAGTCAAAATAGAAAAAATGAAATAAATAAACAAAAAGTGTTTTTACGGTCAAGAACTTCAAACACAAGGTATCAACAAATGAAACAAGGAAAAACAAAAAGAAACAGAACCAGGTGTGCAAAGATACCGAATCTAAATAGTGCACATAAACGTAACCGTTTTTTACAAGTCCTGATTTGTTTTGAATGAAATCGCCAAAACGTAAACAAAGGTATAAGCAATTGAAGACGTCAAAGGTTCCCCTGAAAGGGAGGGATTATTAAAGTAATAAACGCCGTTCAATTCAATCTATTGTCTAACGATCCTGAGTTTTTATGAGGATACAGGGATTTACCCTATTTCTACTACGAGAGGAAGAGTTTGGGAAAAGGTAAATTCAGTTAAGTAGCAATCTTAATAAATATATGATCCGGTGCGGTAGCTATTGAGTTTGATGAATGACGATCAACATAACATATGCGGCCATTGAACGAATGATGTTGCTCGTTTAATGAGTGCTACCGAAGTCCGGAATTGAATTCAGCCATCAGCCGGCAATTGAGAATACAAATCGGCAAATGAAAGGTAACAAAACCAATCAATCCCACATCATACAAATCTTTTCATTAAGTAAACAGTTGGTGTGTTTACATGAAAAAAGAAATGAATGAATAATACAAGGAACTTTCATCAAAAGGGAATTTGGGCGGGAAAAAATATATAATGAATTGATGTTTGCTTTTTAAATATTTCTCAGCGAGTGCTGCTGCATTAACGTCAATGGAAGGGAAACAAAAAAAATAATGCGCTTCATTAAAGTTCGAAAAGGGTTCAGAAAAAGGTAGAAACCTTTTTGAGATGATTTGTTTATATTTTTTTGCAACATTCGCCAGCGAGCTTTATCTTTTAAGTTCGCTCATCCTTTTTGTGGAGTTCGGTAACCGGGTGCAACTTCGGCAATTGACGGTACATTGATGGTAAATAATACCGAGACAATTGGGTTTGCCGTTTGAAGGGATAGAAAACATGGGGGAGGGGGCGGGGAAAATGATGGAAAGCAATTATAATTCATTGTTTATTTACAAAAGTAGGAAAAAAGAAAATTTCAATCAAACCGTTTTCATCAAGATCCATTCATAGATAATTGAATAAATATAAGGAGAAATGAAAGTATTTATTAAAACAATTAACCATTCTTTAACAATTTGTAAAAAGCCATTCTTTTTCGTTTACCTATTATACCCATATAGATACATTCGAGTCATTCCTTATTCTAAAATTCCCAAAACCTTAAAACATCCTATGCTATCTAAGAATTTCTCATAATTCAAGCAGCAATCTCTGAAACAGGTGCAGGCGCCGGGGTCGTTCCTGGCTGACCTTTATTTTTCTGTTTCCGGACAAATCGAACATCTTCGGGACTAAACCCACCATTACCATAATAGGCAAAGTCTGGGGTAGGAGCTACGTAATCTAAAGGATCAAAATCTTTTTTCGAACGCCATAACTCAAAAAACTTGGGATAGTCAATGTGCGTGTACCATACATTGTCCTTTTTAAATTTAGTTTGCGCAACCAATAAACTGCAGCTGTGAGCATGCTCAGCGGCAATTTCATACTTGACACCTAAATCTCCCAAGTACTTATCTATGTTTTCAATTAACTTCTTTGTGAAGTCAATAACTTCTTCGTAGTATGGTACATTCTTCATCGTTAACGGCGACTGGTCCGAATTTCCACTGTAAGTCACTCCTTTAATCTCAATAAAACAAGGAATGCCCAAACGAATAAGTTCAGTATATTCTTTAATTTGCTCCATGTTAAATCCTTTCACTAAAGTCATTCGATATACCGTCCTTTGCTTCTTTTCACGCAAAATCTCCAAACACGTCAGCAACCGCTCCCAAAAGTCTTTAAACAAGGGTCGATCGACTGACTTAAGACTTTGTTTTGTGCTGGCGTCAATTGAAACATATAATTGAGTCACCATTCCCATCTTCTGGAATGCTTCTGGGTGCTGAGCATTCGTAACAAGGAATGAAGAGATCTCTCGTTCGTGTAGCATTCCCACAAATTCATTGATGTATGGGTAAAAGATAGGTTCACCGACCAATGACAATGCACAATGTCTCACACGAGAAGCTTCCGCAAAACGATCCTGGCGGACTCCAGGTACACCTCGCATTAATTTCAATTTTGAGTAATGTGACTCTAGGATTCCCTTCAAAATTAACTCTGGAGGATCTACTTTCCAGCGCCACTCCGTACCAACTGGATTCGTGCCGTGGCGCCAACAAAAAGTACACTTGTTGGCACAAGCTAAACTAGGCGTAGCTTCCATACACAAATGACTACGGATGCCATAGAAGCTGTATTTATAGCAAAAACCTCGTCCACGAATAGCAGATTTCGTCCAGCGACAAATTTTAACACCACTATGAGAGCCAACAACACTGTAACCCTGCTTTGTCAGTGCTTTGTAAGTTGGAGATACGGTAGAAACCATTTCCTTGGTGCCAATGGGCAATGAAGCTTCTGTCTTGGCTTTGGCCATCATCGGACCCATATCTTCAACATCCATTACGTCTGAATTACCTTCTCCTTCATCCATAGGGCGCAACAATGTTCCTTTTCTCATATGTTCAATGACAGAATTTGTCCATTGAGTTAAGACGTCAATTTGAGTTGCAGAAGCTAATTGTGTATTCATAATACCCATAGGAGCAATTCGTTGGGCACCAAGCTTGCTTAACCATTTATCGGCTTCAATGGCTTGATAGCAAAACATATCACCAGGATAATTGTCCATGTCACCGAGTCCAAACACGGCATACCCAGACAATTTTTGTAATGGATTTTTCTGAACACGGAAATCATAAACAGTCTCACGTAAAGTAGACAAGTAGAAATCTAAACTACTTTCAATGGCATAAGAGGGCAAAACAAGAAGATAGACGGCATTCTCTGGGCAATAAAGGAAATATTCTTCCAAATCGATATAGTCCAAACTCAACAATTGCAAATCATCTCTTTGAAGATTCGTCGATAACAACTTGTGTACTTCATTAGCATATCTCTGAGCTGTTCCTCCTAAAGTGGCATAGAAGATGCAAATTGGCGAATTTTGCAAATCAATCTCGTTCTGAGACTTCGAAGTTGACTGAACAGGTCTAGTCTTCATATTCTTTCTAGTAAACCTCTTTGTCGTTTTCTTTTGCTTTCCATTCTCTTTTTCATTTAACACAATTCCTTCAGCTGGAACGGCCAATTGCCTCTTATTTCGCGATATAATTAGATGAGCTGCAACGGGCAAAAGGAGGACTAAATAAAAAACTAAACCTCTGTAAGTCCCCCATTTTTCTTCCAAAAACGCAAGATCAAAACACATGTTGGCGTTTCTTTCTAACGTCTCTGGTAGTTGGAAGAAGGAAAAGTTCAATAAGCCTGTAAGAGGGTACCGACCAAAGCAAACTTCTTGCCAATCAGAGGCAAGAAAAATCGGATCTTCTAAATGAAAAATTGAGTTTTAGAGCTATTGTTAGTAGTTATCAAGTAGTTGTTTTCTGTGCTTTTGTTATGGATAAAATTTTACTTTTCTGGATTTATGCATTTTCCTTTAGTACAATATGTAATTATCAGATTGCCATGAAGTATTGTTGATTTTAGCTGGCTTTATTCCTGTTCAAGGATGACACATGATTTTATAGAAAAACAGAATTGAGAAAAAAAAATAAAAAGAAAATCATTTCATTGGAACTTTGCATCATTATCCAAAAGTGGTCTTCACAGACGTAAATGTACAGTTTTAGAGTTGAGAAAACAAGTCTAACTATTTTTCAGGACTTACAATAATGAAAGAAAGAAAGCCATATAAAAAGATAGATTTACAATTTGCGCAAGTCTATTTCCCTGAGGGAAGAACACTTGATGACTCCCTTGTCGGCAGCTTGCTCAGGAGACAAAGAGAAAAAAGGAAGAATAGAAGGATCAGGAACCCAAATTACTCTCATATCAGCAGCTCTTCCTGATTCAAGGCCTAGAATGGAGTCTTCAAAAACAAGACAATCCTTAGCCTCAATCTCTGGTTGTCCCTTTACTCTGCGCTTTTCATTAATGATTTTCAAAGCGATAAACCAGATATCGGGATTCGGCTTTCCGCGGCCAGGAAGAAGACGATCGTCATCTCCCGTTACAATGTTATTTTCAAATAGTTGAAACATTTCTCCTAGATGCGCCGTTTTCTTTACAAAGTTATGAGTATCACTAGAGGTCGCGAGCGCTATAGGGATGTCAAGCAACTTGCATTGGTGTAAAAGCTCCAATGCTCCAGGCAAAGGCCGAGTTTGTTTCCAAAGCTCAGATTGCAATTCACGCTGCATCTGGATGTACTGATCGCTAGATATGTCTAACTGGGACCATTTCAAAAAAATTTGACAAGCTTCTCGAGAAGGACGGCCTTTTTTCCATACGATTGTTAGCTGTGTCAAATATACAACGTACACATACCCATCATTTGTGCTTTGATTTCCATAGGAAAAGAACCTTTTTGGTATCGTTCCAATATGATGTCTTGTCGTAAAGATTAGTTTCAGCAAGAAAGGAGTGGAAACGAGAAAGGCATACTTGTGCTTTTTGTATAAATGGTTTCCGTGTCTAATAAAAGACCCTAGTCCATGTTAATATCTCTTGCTCAATCAACCAATTTGTAGGCCAGTGTTTGAATAAGGACGTGAGTTTAATTAACTTTAAAAAAAAAAGTATTCTAGGTAATAAAAAAAAAAAGAAAAGGAAAAAAAGGCACGATATATCACGTTTCTAGCACAGGAAGAAAACTTACATCCATATCGAAAAGGCAAGCTTTAGGAGGCATCTTGATGTTTGAAAAGATTATAGATTGAATTCAGTGGGACAAAAGACAGAGAAACAAATGAAAAAGTTGTCTATTTTGGATATTTTCAATTTTATAAGATTTGCGTTTGTGGGTTGGTCAAGATACAAAACTTTGGATAGCTCAGGTCCTTAAGGCAACAAAACCAAGATTTGAGTATCATTCAAGGCTTCTTTATGAAACATTAGAGGATAAAAAGAACTATGGCAGGATTCAACTTTGGTTTGCTAGAAGGGACTTTTTCTGTGAATTGAATCCTTTGAATTTCCAAAAAAAAAAAAAGAAAAGAGTAAACAAAAAATATATATACAACAATAATAATAATAATAACAATTCTTTTCCTTTATAGAAAAATCGAAAGAAACAATGTGCGTTGTTAATAAATTTATAGATTTTTTGGTTTCTAGGTCGTTGTAAACAATCACTTTTGTTTACATGTGATCCATCCTAAGAATATCCTTATTTCTGCGTCCAAAGGATTCATATAGACAATAATTTGTTAAAATTAGAGTGAATTTCTACTGAGAAATCCTTTTATCCTTCCTTTCCACTATTTATGTCAGCTTGAACATATAAACATCAAACCGCCTTGATCCTAGTAATGAACAACACGATGTAGCAAAGAATTCTAATACATTTTCCTGTTAAGTGTAGAGAATTCAAACCCCATAAGGTTCCTTTAGACAACTTTTACCCTAAAGGCAAGTATTTCTCGAACTTTGTAATCTGATTAACTGATAAAACTGATCAGACAAACGTGTGTATGTCACAGGAAGAATTCTGTGGAGTATGAAGCGAAATTTATAAGTAAAGTATTTAATGCAAAGTTGATGTTAATCAGATCATCATTCGTTTACATGAAACGAACAAAGCACCGATGCCTGAAAAGCAATATTTTCTTTCGTATTCAACTGGCCTAATGTTACATATAAAAAAAATAAAGAATTACTTATAGAAACGAAAATCTTTACCCTTAGTCTCTATGCTAGCTAGCGGTTATTAAAACTATTCCAACATATCTTTGGGATTGTTATCCTACTAAAAAAAGTATCGCACAATTTTCGCTCTATGACTTTTTGTTCTTTAAATTTGTTTTTTTTTTTTTACAATCTTCTCATCTTTTGCTTTCCATGAAAGCAGATCCAAACGATGCTTTACTAACCTTCTATACCCAACTAGCAAATACATAAGGAAGGACAAGGGGGATATGCATGTTCTGGAACAAATAAATGGTTGGTAATCACGTTTCCTTTCTTTTTTTTTTTTTTCTTATCTTCTTTCCTTCTCGCGCGAACGGGTTTGGAGTAAATTTAACATAAGCTCCTTCACCCTCCTTGAAATCCATAAGCTATATATTTTCCAGACGCGTACGCATCCAACGTTTACCACACACGTATCACTATACCCGAAGGTAGAATTATCTGTAAGTAACTGCTGGTTTTATCATATTTTTCTTTTGTTTTTTTGTTGTTTTAATTTCACAGCAAATGAAGATGATGTTAATTGTGCCTTCAGTAAACTAACCAAGACTATGTAGTTTATATTAGTCAGCAAGCATGTCTTCTTCTTTAGAACAACTCAAGAGTACCGGAACTGTTGTCGTTTCCGACACTGGTGATTTTGAATCGATTGCCAAATACAAGCCTCAAGATGCTACTACCAATCCCTCTTTGATCTTGGCCGCCTCCAAGAAGCCCCAATATGCTGCCCTTGTCGATGCCGCCGTCGAATACGCCAAGAAGCAAGGCGGCTCTCTCGAAGACCAAGTCGAGAATGCTTTTGATCGCCTTCTCATTGAGTTTGGTACTAAAATCCTTGCTATCGTTCCTGGCCGTGTTTCCACCGAAGTTGATGCTCGCTTATCTTTCGATACCCAAACTACCATTCAAAAGGCTCGTCAATTGATTAAGCTCTACGAAGAAGAAGGTATCAGCCGTGAGCGTATTTTGATCAAGGTTGCTTCCACTTATGAAGGTATCCAAGCTGCCAAGCAATTGGAGCAAGAAGGCATCCACTGTAACTTGACCCTTCTTTTCTCTTTCGTTCAAGCTGTCGCTTGTGCCGAGGCTAATGTCACTCTCATTTCCCCTTTTGTTGGCCGTATTCTCGACTTTTTCAAGGCCAAGTACAACCGTGAATACGCTTCTCACGAAGACCCTGGTGTCCTTAGCGTTAGTCAGATCTACAACTACTACAAGAAGTACAACTACAAGACCATTGTCATGGGTGCTTCCTTCCGCAACATGGGTGAGATTAAGGAGCTTGCTGGTGTCGACTTCTTAACCATTTCTCCTGCTCTCCTCGAGCAGCTCAACAACAGCCAAGAGCCTATCCCCAAGAAGCTTGATGCCTCTCAAGCCCATGGTCTTGACATGGAAAAGATTTCTTATCTTGATGACGAGTCCAAGTTCCGCTTCAACTTCAACAATGATGAAATGGCCGTCGTCAAATTGGCTACTGGTATCACTGCCTTCGCCAAGGATGCCGATACCCTTCGTGGTCTTTTGAAGGAAAAGCTTCAAGCTTAAGCTGCTTCCTTGTTATGTCTATTTCTTTTTCAGAAATTTTATGTTTCCTTAGATTTTTCTTCGATATAGAAAATAATAAACTCAGTATACCTCAATTTGATTATTCGGTTAATACCGGTCTAAAAAATGATTGTTTACAGTACAAATGAACACATGACTTTCCTCTGTTTTTAACCTATAGCTGATAGTTTATATAACGTTACTCTATCACTGTCAAAAAGCAAATTATCGCTGAGTGAATCTAATAAATAAAAAACCGAATGAAAATGGGTAAAAAGAAAGAAGTGCCACAATATTCACTACACATCAAAGGTCTGTTCATCAAATATCTTTGACCTATCTTCTGGAGGCCATTCCAAACGCTTCCAGGTGCGAATTGTCCGTTTCGAAGGGTTTAATTCCCATAGTCTGGCACGTCGAATATATCCGCCATGTCCACCGTAACCGCCAAACCCAGTGCTTCCTGCCATACAGAATCTTACCTTGTAAGTCGTATGAATTCCACAGAAGTCATTTACATGATCATGACCGGCTACAGCCACAGGAATTTGCAATTCGCTTAACGTCCTTGCTGTCCCTGGATCACAATAGGATGAGGAACATTTCTCTCGATATGATCCGACCATGTCCTCCACTTCGCAAAATTCTTTTAATGGTATATGAAAAAATACCATTTGAATAGGATCGTTTTGAAATTCTGTCTTTTTTGATCGCAACCAAGCAAGTTGGTCTTTCTTGATAGCATCATACACGGGACAAGCCCGACCATTTGTAGTTCCTGCATGTGAGTCTAGTACGTATATAGAAAATCTTTTTGGGCTTCGCAAAACGAAGTTCCCAACCCCAGAAATATTTCCCATTAGTCCGATATTTCCAGGGACCTGGTGAACAATTTGAGCCATCTCATCATTAGCCAAATCTCCTAAACTGTCATGATTTCCATAAGTAACAGCGAACGGTATATCGTAATCTACTACGGAAGCCAATGCTTTCATAAGAGACGTTTTGGAATCGTCCACCGCGTCACCAGTAATCAAGTCCCCTGTAAAGAGGACAAGATCTGGAGATTCTCGTTTTAAAATATCCGTAACAAAAGCATGAGTCGTTGCGTCTGCCATACAGTCTGTGGGACGTTCTGGAGGATACGAATCTCGACATTTTGTACGGTCAGTCGCATAATGCAAGTCTGATAACTGCAAGATCTTCAACGTTTCCCTCCTATCGTCAAAGGGCACATCTACAAATGCGGGTTCGTTCTTCTTAAGATCTTCAATAGCTGGAACAAGGGGATACGAGCAAAATCGTTGGGTCAGCAAAATTGGACGACCTAGGTAAAGAAACTGTGATTGCACTGGACTCCATCCTCTTCGTACTTCGCTGGCATCAGTACCGAATAAACCTTCCACATCACATACGTCCCCATTTGGACCGTATTGAATATGAAGGTTATGTTTCTTTCCTTTCATCAATTGATGGTCGATCATTAAATTTTCGACGGTTGGTGTCACACCAGCAATATACCTGCTAGGCCTTTTTACGAACACGTACGCCCGTTTCCAAGGAAGCCATGATCGATACAAATTATGGCTAGAGCGATCCCATCGCCAAAAGGAAAGTACAGGTCTGCAAAAGGGAGAGAAAAGCCCGCATTCGACGATGCGAACATCCTCAATTGGTGTTTGAAGGTAAGCTAACTTTGAATTGGAAGATGTAGGGAATTGCGTCTTAACAAGCCAGTAATCAAATATAAGAAGGCAAAAGTAAAGAAGCACAGCATAAACCAAGTTCTTGCGAATCAATTGAACCGTTCTTGTTAAAATCCTCATTTTTTACTAACGAGGAGATTATAACAAATATACCTTTAAGAAAGACTAAAAATCGCCCTCTCTGCAACCTCTATTGACTGATCTCTGTCCCAGCTTTCAGTTCCTTGCAAAATAGCCAGTCCGCTGAATTTCTGGTGTAAGATAGAGATAGAACTATGAATAAAAACCAGTCGTAGAAAACTTCCTTTTTCTTGGAATTTGCATGAATACAGTGAAACCACTACATGTTTGTTTACGTTCAGTATTTAAAAAAAAAGAATAGCGAACTTTCAAGATGATTAAAAAGTTGTTGTGTACAACGTTTAATGGTATTGTGCAGTACAGCGCTGTGCCTTATTATGGTAAAAATACAATGTTACCTGCAAATAAACCTGAGAATTTCAAGAAACCTTTGCTTCTGCCCATTTTCCTTTGATTCCGTAAATCTGTATATTTAAACAAGTCAATATGTCTGATTACGAAGAAGATGAAGGTTTTGGTATGGACGGTGCCGTTATGGAAGAAGAAGTGGATGAATTTCAAGTGGCAGACGAAAATGGCGAACAACAAAATGGCGGTTTAGGAGGAGAATCCACTGCAATATTGTCAGAAGACGTTGCCAGTAGCCGTGTTGGTCCTCCTTCCAAAGCCGTTGAAAAAGAAAAACGTATGACAACGCCATACATGACTAAATACGAGCGTGCTCGTATCTTGGGTACCCGTGCCTTACAGATCAGGTAAGTATAGCAATCAAGGCGAAAGAATAAAAATGGAATTATGAATGGTTGGAACTGAGAAAATGCATCAGTGAAGCTGCTGGCATTCTACTACCTTTGACCTGTGTATAGAAACATGTTCTTTCAAATGGAAACAATCCTTGTGATTTTTCATATAGTTATTCTCCCAGAAAACTAACCAGAATGTATAGTATGAATGCTCCTGTTTTAGTGGATTTGGAAGGCGAAACAGATCCATTGCAGATTGCCATGAAAGAACTTGCACAAAAGAAGATTCCCCTTTTGGTCCGTCGCTATTTACCTGATGGAAGTTATGAGGATTGGAGCGTTTCTGAACTCATCTAATGGAATGTGTGGCATATTAATAAAGTTATTTAAGAAAAAATAAGAACAATAATATTGGTGGTTTTTGGATTTCTCCTTTATTCAAGAAAGAAGTTTCTTTCCTTTGTATAGTTTTGAAACTATATACCTGGAGTTGGGTTATTGATGATCCAAACGTCAAGAACATACGAAAAAACTTCACTCTTCCCTTTGTTAGGATAGAAAAGTTTTCATAGAAAGCTCTTTAAATTATGAGCATGTCGTTCTTTTTCTATAATTATACAACCTGCTGCGGTTGACATTGTATTCTGAATAGCAAACATATAGAATTTCTGTGTATGATTGTATCACGGTGAGTTGCATGTTTTAAGTTTCTTTAAACAATCAACTTTGTTTTCTACAAAGTAGTATTTCTTCAGCAAAAAATAAATGTGCCTAGCTCTATGTTTTTAGTGAGTGTGTTCATGATGCTCTGGTACAGGCCCCAATTTCTTCCAATCTTGGATTTGATCTGATGTGGAAGAGAGAGGTGTAACGATACAGCTTGAAAGAGCGGGCATGGCATCTAGTATAATTTGTTCAGCCGATTTCGCCAACTTTGATGACTCTTGAATTGTTAAATCTGGTGCCATTGACAAAATGACATGAATCGCATGAGTATTTCCCAAAGTCATAGCAACTTTATGAGGAAAATTTGCTTTTTTAGATAGAACATCAACAACAGTTGTTTGCAACTTTGTGGATGGAGCTTTGTCAAGTATCTGATGGAAAGCTTTACTTGAAGATTTAAAACCAGCTCGAAAGACGACTATACTGACTAAGCACCCAAAAAGAGGATCTAACCATGGCGCTTTCAAAAAATATGCTCCGGAAAGTGCAATGAGAGATACTAGGCCAGTCAATGCATCCGCACGGTGATGCCATGCATTGGCGATCAATAAATTTGAGCCCGTTAGTTTTGCAACTTCTTTTGCTATAACAATCACGTTAATAACTTTAATAGTTACAAGGCTTGGAGTCTATACACTTACTTCTTTGAAACAGCCACTCCTTCAGAACAACGCTTCCAAGAGCTATTCCAATTGCTATGAAAGGATGCTGTAAAATTAACTCGGAATAATCGTGCGAATGTCCTATATGAGTACTCGTAGCTGCTCCATCCACGGCGTTGTGCGAAACCGAATCTTGAAAAAACATGGTATACAAGCGACTCACGGAAGAGTTTGCAATTCCTACTGATACAGCAAGGAGTAAACCAGAAACACTAAAAGTCCCTAAAGTTTCCCATTTTCCAAATCCTGTTGGATAGTCTCGAGTTGGTTTCTTATTACAAATTTTCAAAGTAAACAAAGTCACCAAATCTGAAATCATGTCTCCTAGTTGATGGGCCGCGTCAGCAAGCAATATATTTGATTGTAGAGCCAATCCGCCGGTTCCTTTAGCAGCCATTAATGCTATGTTACTATATCTGAATTATGGTTAGAAATGCCATCGATACAATCTAGCTCAATTTCTGTTTTGCTAACAGCATAGAAAGGAGACTTACAAACCCCACCAGGTCAATTTCACTTCGGGTGTTTGCTTTTTTTGTTTCAATGCTTTGACAAGCTCGAAGTAGTTTTTCTCATCTTCGTGATTATGCTCATGAGTATGAGGATAAAGTCCATGTTGACGGCAAAAGAACCAAGGTCGGTATATAGAAGAAGAGTATTTTGTGAAAGATTCTTTCGTTAAAGCGCCAGAACAACCTCTCAAAGCAAACGTTTTGGTAGTACGTGGAAACATCTTTGGAAGCTCAATTGCTGGAATTCACAGTATGAACAATCCTTTATTTGAGGCGTTTAACACTAGAAAGGTATCATAAATAAGCACTTCGTATTCTTCCTGAGTGTGATAATTTTCGTCTTCCTTTCGTTTCTATAATAAATATGTCTTGTTACACAGGCAATCGTTATAATTTCTTCTCAAATAAATATTTAGAAAAAAATCAATTAAACAATATAAATGTGAACTGAATGACTTTTCATGAAGAGTTCTACGCCAAACAAAGGGACGTCAGTGTCTTATTACAGACCTTGAAAGCGAAGGTATGTATTTTAAGGGATCAGCTTTAACAAGTAATAGATGCCACTAAAAATTCCAATTAAATCCTGCTTCTGACAGTTCGTAGGAGTCGTTTTCTTTCAAAAGCAGTTGCAGATCAATTTATAACTTAATCTTATTTCCGGATCTGCATGATCTACTCGAATGACTTTATCAGATCAAAAAAAGGATTACGATTTTGTATTTATGTAATATTTTTGTGGACTTCTTTTCTAGCTTTCAAATTCTATCAACTTTATTATTTATCAGAGTTACGGTTCAATAAATATATACTTTAACAGAACAAATACGCGCGTTCAAATGCTAGCACAACCATTGTTAGATGTATAATTACTTATTACAGATTTTTAGTACAGAGTTTAGGACAAGCATAGAATAACTAAAACAAACACGTGACCCATTATTATTAAATATAAATTTAGTATACACGAAAGTTTTGAGCATTTCCACTAGGCATTAAGGGGCAGTAAATGTGAAATCATAAACCGACACCCAATATACAAAAAAGCGGATTATGTAGAATATAGTTTTAATTTTTATCATTCCACTAGTGGAAAATGCTCAAAACCTCAAAACATGCAAATGAAATTGCATTCATAGATACTGAATGTAGCTTTTCCAAAAGAACGCTCAAAATTTCCGATTCTTGACTTAGACCATTATCATAAATTGAATGAACCCTTACGGAAGTTGCTTGATAAACATAACTCGCTCCATTTTGCTTCATTAAAGCCGACTCGGGAATGCTAAACTCTATTAAAAACTTCGTTGCCCTAGAGTGAAGATACATCTCCAGTCGAATTACGACACACTGGTTTTCTTGATAAAATGACACATAAGGCCAATATAATTTAAGCCTTTCAAATTCCAGCAAAAGTTCTTGTAATTGACTCCAATAAACAGCTATTTCGTCCAATTCCGGTTTCAGTAATTTGATGTTTTTCTTAATAATTTTGCTTTTGTTGTTGTGAAACATCTCAGTAATAATACCAAACACATCAGTTACTGTCCATGATCGCTTTGCTATTTCAGCTCTTACATTAAGATCCAGTCGTTGTTGGCTCACTTGAAGCAAAACGTAAACATGAAAGGGTTGTAACGAATGATTCCAAATTAGTTTCATTTCATTAGGTCGGATAGAAACTATGGTCCAGCCAAGTTCCCTTTGTAATTCTGACATTCGTTGCTGATATCCTGTAATTTCATCATACTCAAAATCCTGATTCGCATTATAAAATTCCCTTTCTTCCCGACACTGCAGTTCTAGAAGTTTGTATCGATTACTTAGGTCATCCATCTCTTTCCGCTTATGCTGCTCCTTAATTTGTTGTTCAAGTAGTGCTTTCTTTTTCAAGCTTAGTTCCCTTTGCAAGTCTTCAAATTTATTTTGAGCTTGGAGAACTAATTTTTGATTATATTGTCCAAACATTTCTTTTCTCTTTCTCAATGTTCCAACTTTTGATGACACCGAAGACAAATTCTCACGTAATCCTTCGAAAAAGGGAAGAAGCTTGGATCTGGTTTCCGAAACCTGTATCAAATTTTTTTGAAGTTTCATGAGATTCTCATTAAGTTCCTGCTTAATTCCTAGCAATAGGGCCTCCCGCCATTCATACCAATATCCCTGCGCTTGTAAACGCGAAAAGGTTTTAATTATCCGAAACTGTGAATTCATTAATGCTTTCATCTCACTTGACGCTTTTCTATACTCATAAAACAGCAACGGATTATTCTGATAAGCATCTTCAGCCATTTTTGTTACGAAATCCTTTCCCTCAATAATATATTCTTCCAATTTTTGACAGCTAAATTTGTACAATTCGAGTATTGGGAATTGCAAATAGTAGGACTCCAAAAGTTGAGCAGTCGTTAATTGAGGACTTTCAGCTGAACCAGATACTATTGTTTCACGCCTTTTTGAACTCGTTATATTGTCCAGAAACTCAATTTCTGTCATATTCAAAAATTCCTCCAATGTCAAAGCCGGCAAAACAGGATCAAATGCGGATGAAGCAACCTCCTGTTCTGCTTCCTCATTTTGTTTTTGTTCATCTGTAGGTACAATTTCATTAACGGTCTCTGGCATATCAGCGGCATGTAAGACACTTCCTTCCTTAATATCGTTTACCCCCATTGAAGAACTCAAATCCTGCGTTTCTTCTAAGGTAAATGGGCGTAATTTGACTGCTATTGGCGATATGAAGGAATCCTTTTCCATTTCTTGAAATCTGCTATTTGCAAAATCATCAGAATATGAAGATTCCGGCGCTAAAGATGCAGCTGCAGGGCCAGGATGCACTTCATGCCTTAAAGGACTTGCAGCCACAGATTTCTCAATTTTATTCGGGCTATCATTTTTGTCATTTTTTTGGGATGAAGGACTTGTAATAGATTCCTGCTCTAAAGTAGAGGAAAATGAAACAAATTCCAAATCATTCAAAGTAGATATAGACTTTCTGGCATTTCGGATTGTTGACAGTCGTTGTTGCCGTTTAGCTTCCATATCCACGGTTGATGTACTGTACCTTTGTTTACGACGAAAACTTTTTGTTGAGCTCCTATTCAAATTACTTTTAGGTGAAGGAGAAACCGAAGTAGCTTTCTTTTCTAAAAAGGGACTTTCGGGTTTACTGGGTGTCTTAGCATGAAGGTTGTAACTTAACCGTTTTGCTTTTTTATGAGGAGGAGTTTCTTCATATGCAACAGCTCTATTTTCTGGAGAAGGAAGCTTCTCTATTGGTAACGTGAGATCCATCCCCACTTCCTCTTGCTGTTCCGGTACATTCTGATTTTCATTTACAAGAGAAGATGGAAGATTGACGACACCTGTTACATCCATCGGTTCTTCATTATCATTTATCTGTATCTTTGAAGGAGAAAATTCATCAAATGCTTTTGTCACATTCATATCATCTTCACCAGCACCAAGAGTTTCGTTGTTTTCCGACCCTTGGAAATCAGAATTATAATCGACTTGATTGATGGGATTGACAGATAAAGGAAGAGGATGAACAGTCTGAGTGATGTCCATAGCTTCCTCCCCAGAGGAAGATTGAAGCGAAAGCTGGTTCGCAGGAAGCGACGTCGTTAAATCCATATCAGTAGGATTTTCTGAAGGGGAAGCAGGAATATTAAAGGCGGTAGGAGGGTCTATAGATGACTTAAGATCCTTACTAGGTGTACCAATGGTATCATCTATAGATAGTTCATGAGTGGGACGAATTGGTGATATATGACTGGAAGTAAGCTCCATGCTTATGTCCATCTGGTTCGGAAAATCTTCAGGAACAGTAGGTGGTACATCAATTGGCCGAGTGAGCATCATGTCTTGCTCTTCTTCTATGCCTCGAGCCAGCGAGGGAATTGACTTAGGAGCAGACGAATCAGCAGCATTATAAAGCGGAAAATGATTAGAGATATTCTTGACTTGTCGAGAAGGAGTTTGCTCTGTTGAGCTGGTTCCCTTAACAGACTCAATGCCAGAAAGGTAAGAGTTATCATCATGAAACCGCATAGTGACATCCATGCTCATTTCAGTTTCCTCTTCTTGATTGCTATTTGAGTTACTTTGTTTTATTGGAGGTCTTTCTGAGACTCCATAAGAAGCTATTTGAGAGGAATATGGGTGATCGGTAGCTGTCTGAGAAGGATTCGGTAAAATGGACACAGAGTTGGATAAAGGAGGTGAATTCGTAACATCCATGTCACTATTTGTCTCATTCTCTTCTAGCTGGGAAAGGGAGGAATGATTGGGAGCATTGGACGAAAGGGATTCTCTTGATCCCTGACTACTTCTCGATTCATTTTCATTATCAGACAATTCATTAGGAGATACATTCCCTTCTTCTTCGGCTGAAACAGCTGGCGTTATGGCAGCAGATGGAGGAGAAGAAACAGGAGGAGAGTCTGACGAAAAACGCGATCGATCCGACTCATTTTGATACCACCTCACACGAGCGTGGCTTGCAAAAGATACACGACTTCTTCGGCCCTTTGAATGAGTTGTTGGTTCATTCTCTTGCGGAGTGGTCATTTGTTTGGATGCAAACATTATGCTATTAGGAATACCAATCACGGTATTATTCAGTGTGTCAAAATCCTCGTTGTAAGCACGTTCATTTTTGCTAGCAGGATCAAGTCCAAAGGAAGAATATCGTTTAAGAATTCCTTTCCCTGGGTTAGCGCGTTCCTTCAATTCTTGCACAGCATGGGACCCTCCCAATGAATATGAACGTTTCCTAGTCTTTTTCTTTTCATACAAATCATCAGTAGCCGCAATACTATTACGGCGAGGCGATGTTGACATCGTCAATGAAAACAATACGTTTCCAAGTATAATTTGGTTGTGTTTAGGTTTCAAGTTTCCAATTACCAAACTCGAATGAAGTGTGCAATCATGCAACACACGAAAGAAGAACTTAATTACGCACTCCAACAAAGCTACGAATTCCTAATCTTTAAGCTTCATTTAGTTAAGGTAGTGAAATAAGATTAGCAGAATTGAGGATTCAACTGATTCAATAAACTAACGATATACAGCGTTCAAACAAACGGTGTTCACAATTGCTTAAACAAAATTGAATATCGTAAAGATCTGTCGTTTTAGTAAACAATTGCTCTTCTGAGTTCACAAACATGCTTGGGATATTATCAGATTAGGAATGTAAACAATTGATGAAATGATGGGCAAAAGTAACTTAAGGATATATACTCAACGTCTTAATTAATTAATTATTAAAGAAAAAAAAATAAAATGCTTTAACTTGATAAAAGCAACGGGCAAGTAATGGACTTTTCGAAACGAAGCCCGTTCCATCATTTACAAATAAGCAGCATGAAAGATGAAAACGTACTTATAACTAAACTGAGGTGATTTTTTCTTATTTTACCTCATATTTTTCCTTTTCCTTGTACTATTGGAACTACATTAGTGTGTATAACTTTTAGAGTTCACACATTTGTCTTGCTAACACAAAAAAGGGTTTACCTGTAACAACAGTTTTTTATTTTTTTTTTAAAAAAAAAATAAAGAGTTGTAGCAGCCACATAACTATAGCATTCGTATTGCACTGTTTACGTTTGCTCTCCATTTTGTAAACAAAAGACACCTTTCCTCAGCAAGATACAATTGAATGCGGATGGCGCATAAATTGACTTCCCCTCAACTAAAACTAAAACGAAATCCTCAGCCATATAAACCTTTTTTTTCTCTACAAAAGACACTCATATGCCAATAAATGCTGTACACGAAATGTGCCAGTCATGACTTATGAGGAAAGTGTTACGTTGACGAAGAGCAGATCCCCAAAACATAGTGTCAACGCCTAGTCATTATTGAAAATGAACCAATTTAACAGTCTTGAAGAGAAATTTCCACGTAATGCGACAAAAATAGCAAGACGTTATCGTCGTAATCCTGTAAAACAGTCAAATACTAAGAACCTGGAACGTTCTTTCCTTCTTGCACAATTAAACTATAAAAGAAGCACCTCCTGCTCTCTTTTGCTAAGCGCCATCTTGCCCTTCTTTCTTTTGTTGAACATAGTTGCATCGAAAGACACACTCTTTTGTAACACCTAATCATTCATCTAACAAAGTCTTTCCTTTCAACCGTCTTTTGACAACATGCAAAATCGAGACAACGATCCTGATCCAAGTGGGTCATATGTTAGTCGTCAATACGAGCATCCTCAAACATCTCGACAGGGGGACAATACATCTTCTCGTGACTGGAATACCAGAACATATGTATATGAGGGCAACGATCCCAATGCTTCTCAGCAAGAAACTGATAGGACCAGCGTTGCTTCTTCCGGCAATGAAAGATACACTGATAGCGATCAAGGAAACCATGACTCCACAGCTGTAGACTATGACAATGCATCCGGCGCCGTCGCTCCAAATGCACAGAATCACCCTCCTCATCCTTCTGATGAAAATGCTGCTGAACAACGACCTGCTGATACACAACCTACACAGCGACAGCAGCAACCTACTCAACAAGAACATCAACCCCCCTCTTCTCCTCCAGCTTCTGCTCATAATGAAAAGGCTGCTGAAGCAGCTAATCAACAGCAAGAACAACAACAAGAAGGTAATGAGGACGAAGACGAAGACAACGAGGACATTGATGCATTAATAGAAGATTTATACTCCCAGGATAATCAAGAAGAACAAGAAGAAGAAGAAGATCATCACGAACCCGGTGGTGTCAAAACCGTTCCAGAAGAACTTCTCCAAACTGATCCCAAGCAGGGTCTTTCCACCTCTGAAGTTGAACAGAGACAAAGGAAATATGGTCTAAACCAAATGAAGGAGGAAAAACAAAATAATTTCAAGAAGTTCCTTTCTTTCTTTATAGGTCCTATCCAATTCGTCATGGAAGCTGCAGCCGCTCTTGCTGCTGGTCTTCGTGACTGGGTAGACTTTGGTGTCATTTGTGCTCTTCTAATGCTAAATGCAACCGTTGGTTTCGTTCAAGAATATCAAGCCGGTTCGATTGTGGACGAGTTGAAGAAAACCATGGCTTTAAAATCCACCGTTGTGCGTGATGGACATACCGTTGAATTGGAAGCCCAAGATATTGTTCCAGGTGATATTCTACATCTTGATGAAGGTACCATCTGTCCAGCAGACGGTCGTTTAATTACTGAAAATTGCTACCTTCAAGTAGATCAATCTGCAATTACTGGTGAGTCCCTTGCTGTCGATAAGCATCACAATGATACCATGTACTCTTCATCTTCAGTAAAAAGAGGTGAGGCATTCATGGTTGTTACAGCTACTGCTGATTCGACTTTCGTCGGCAGAGCTGCATCTTTAGTCGGCGCAGCTGGTCAAGCTCAGGGTCATTTTACGGAAGTTCTTAACGGAATTGGTACTGTTCTTCTTGTTCTAGTCATCATGACCCTCCTCTGTATTTATACTGCGTCATTTTATCGTACTGTTCGCCTCGCAAGACTCTTAGAATATACTTTGGCAATTACTATCATTGGTGTACCAGTTGGTCTTCCCGCAGTCGTTACGACAACAATGGCTGTCGGTGCTGCCTATCTTGCCAAGAAAAGAGCTATCGTTCAAAAACTTTCGGCCATTGAATCTCTTGCAGGCGTGGAAATCCTATGTTCTGATAAAACTGGTACTTTAACTAAAAACAGACTTTCCTTGGGTGAGCCTTACTGTGTTGAAGGTGTCAACGCCGATGATCTTATGATTACGGCTTGTCTTGCATCTTCTCGAAAGAAAAAAGGTCTGGATGCCATCGACAAAGCATTCTTGAAAGCTCTAAAAAACTACCCTCAAGCCAAACAAAGATTATCTAAATACAAAATTTTACAATTTCATCCTTTTGATCCTGTTTCCAAAAAAGTTACGGCTATCGTTGAAACTCCAGAAGGTGAGCGAGTGACATGTGTGAAAGGTGCTCCATTATGGGTATTTAAGACTGTTCAAGATGATCATGAAGTTTCTCAAGAAGTCAGTGATGCCTACAGAGAACAGGTCAACGATATGGCATCTAGAGGTTTCCGTTCACTCGGTGTTGCTCGTAAAGTAGAAGGAAAACAATGGGATATTCTCGGTATTATGCCTTGCTCGGATCCACCTCGTGATGACACTGGTCGTACAATTCACGAAGCTATCCGTCTGGGTTTGAGAATTAAGATGCTTACAGGTGATGCCGTTGGTATTGCTAAAGAAACAGCTCGCCAACTAGGCATGGGTACTAATGTTTATAATGCCGAACGCCTTGGTTTAGGTGGCGGTGGTGATATGCCAGGTTCAGAAGTTTACGACTTTGTTGAAGCTGCCGACGGTTTCGCTGAAGTCTTCCCTCAACATAAATATTCAGTCGTCGAAATTCTCCAACAAAGAGGTTATTTAGTGGCCATGACTGGTGATGGTGTCAACGATGCTCCTTCTTTGAAAAAGGCTGACACTGGTATTGCTGTCGAAGGTGCTTCTGACGCTGCTCGTTCAGCTGCTGATATTGTTTTCTTGGCCCCTGGTCTTTCAGCTATTATTGATGCTTTAAAGACATCTCGTCAAATTTTCCATCGTATGTATGCATATATCATTTACCGTATTGCATTGTCCCTCCATTTAGAAATCTTTTACGGATTATGGATTATCATCTTAAACCGTTTAATGAATCTAGAGCTAATTGTCTTCATTGCAATCTTCGCCGACGTTGCAACGCTAGCAATTGCCTACGACAATGCTCCGTTTGCACCGAAACCAGTTAAATGGAATCTTCCTCGTCTGTGGGGCCTCTCTACGGTAGTTGGTGTCCTTTTAGCTATTGGTACTTGGATTGTATATACCACGATGGTTGCTGCAGGACAAAACCGGGGTATTGTACAAAACTTTGGTGTCACTGATGAGGTACTCTTCCTTCAAATTTCACTTACTGAAAACTGGCTAATTTTTATCACTCGTTGTAATGGACCTTTCTGGTCTTCTATCCCTTCTTGGCAATTGACTGGAGCTGTATTAGTCGTTGATATTTTAGCTACCATCTTTTGTCTTTTCGGATGGTTCAAAGGTGGCCATCAAACGTCTATTGTAGCCGTCCTCCGTGTATGGATGTATTCCTTCGGTATATTCTGTTTTATCGCAGGAGTTTACTTGATCTTGTCTGAATCGAGCAAATTTGATCGCTTTATGCACGGTAAGGCTAAGCAAGGCTCTACTCGTACACTTGAGGATTTCGTCCTACGGTTGCAACGTACTTCAACTCATCACGAACAAGAAGGAAAGAATGGTTAATTGCCAGCTCCTTTATTTTTGGTTTCTGTTTCCCTCAATCCTTTTTGATTTATATATATAGCTTGTAGATAGCATCACGATATATGAGTATAATGTTCTAAATAATAAGATTCTATTCAAATTTTCGCAAAAGAAAAAGAAAATAAATAAAAAAATAAAGAAGAAAATCACTTCAAATGTAAGCTAGAAAATACCTTTTTCTTCGAGCAATAAAAGATAACAGCGTCTATAATTCCAAGTAAATAATACCCAATCATAACATCCTAAAAAGCAACTCGTCAAAGAAAGTAACAATAAGCAAATTTAAATAGCAAAGGTTTTTACTGATAGGAAATACTTACTTTAAGGCAGAGGAAGTACTATTAAAGTAATCGATTGATCCGGAGAGGAATTACAAACAGTTTCATAAACTGGTAACGAAGAGTTTATTTTAGCACGTATAGCGAATAAAAAAGCTGCATTCGGTAGATATATATCAGTAACAAGAGTAAGGATTGGAGACATCGATAACAATAATTTATAACAAAGGAAGGACGTTTTAACAAATAATAAGAGAGCCGAACGCCTAATAAAGTAAGACTCCTTAAGCTATACAGCTAACCTTTTGAAAGCCTTTTTCTCCGTTTAGCCATTTCCAGCTCTCTTTCTCTTTGCTCTTCTAATTCATCCTCATGGCGAGCAGCCCGAGCAGCAGCTTGTTCTTCGCGCCATACATCTTGTCCGGTAGCCTCCATATCGTCATCATCGCTATACAAAGCATCACGGGAGACATAATCTTGTTTCCGTTTTCCAAAAATTTTCCAAATCTCAGAAGACACGTCTGATACACCATCTCCTTCATCATCAGATACAACAAAGTCATCTCTAGGACGATTTTTCGATTTTAACTTTGAGGCACGAGATGAAGATGAAGCAACAGAAGGAGGAACCTTCGCGGGCCTATCGGCAGCATTTGCAATGTTTTGTTTACTTACACCTGCCGAAGACCTGGATTTTGGTAGGGAGCGCGATACACCACTAGCGGTTTTGGACTTCAGCGCGAGTTTTGTGTCATTTGGCATACCCGTTCGTTTTCGCATAATTTCATCTTGTACTTCTGCAACAGACCGCTTGTCACGTTTGGGGCCAGCCTGCAATTGGACCAGTTCACCAGGACGAGAGCCTACTTTATTTCTTATTCCGCTGAAAGGCGCATTTGCAGACGAAGAACGAGCTAAATTAGAGGCCGGCCCAGTAGGTCTAGGAGAGTCTGCTTTTAACCATGCTAAGGACGCAGGAGTTGATGGATTAGACGATGTAGCGCCAATACGATTACTCACACCAAAAGGATCCTTTGTGGGGGATTTTTCAGGAGTTTTAGAAGACCGCTTAAGAGCAGAAGAGGTATTCACCTTAGTATTATCTTTTGTGACGGAAGATAGTTTTTGAGAGTCAGACGCCTGACGAAGTAATTCATTGTAAGAAACCGGTTTCTTCTTCTCTAATCGCTCCTTGTCTTTTTGCTCTCGCAACACTCGAGCCTCGTCTGCTGATATAGGAGGACGTTCAGATCTTTTAGCATTTTCGGAGGCTCGCTTCTGTTCTTTCGTTTGAAGTCGTTTCTGTTCTTCTTCGTATTTTATACGCAACTCGCGTTCTCTTTGAGCTCGTCGTGCCCGGTCTCGCTCTTCCTTTAATTCAATTGCCTTCGCACGAACCTGCGCCTTTTTCAACTGCTCCAGTTGCGTAACAGTTTGAGCAGATTGACTATCTGCGAGCGCCATAAGCTTTTGGAAAGATGGTGTTCCGGCCATTACTAAATTCCTTTCTTGCAGTCGATTTTTTTGCAAAAATCCAATATTTCCTTAAATTAGACCATGCCACTTAGTTCTTCTCCTTTAAATTTCCTATAAATAGAGGTAGTCGACAAGTTTATATTCTTGGTCAGTATAACAACGAAGATCATCTCTAGGCTTCACTAAATGAAATTGACTAGGGTAGGGTAACGTGACTGTTTATACGCGATCATCCTACAGACACGAAAGTCGGTTTTGGCGGAGTTTTGACCATCACCAACTACTGTTTTGCAAAATGGCCGAAGAACACGATGAAGCCCTCCGCGCTGCTGAATTAAGAAAGAGAAGAACTTTCCGTACCTTTGCTTACCGCGGTGTTGAGCTTGAAAAGCTCTTGGATCTTTCTGCTGAGGAATTGATTGAATTGTTCCCTGCTCGTCTTCGTCGCCGCATGCTCCGTGGTCTTGGAGCCGGTGCTTCTCGCTTCATCAAGAAGCTTCGTAAGGCTAAGGCTGAGGCTCCTGTCAACGAGAAGCCTGCCGTTGTCAAGACCCACTTGCGTAGCATGATCATCCTTCCTGAGATGGTGGGCTCTCTTGTTGGTATCTACAACGGTAAGCTTTTCAACCAAGTTGAAATTCGCCCCGAAATGATTGGTCATTACTTGGGTGAATTCTCTATCTCCTATAAGCCCACCAGACACGGCCGTCCCGGTATTGGTGCTACTCACAGCTCTCGTTTCATTCCTCTCAAGTAAAAAAATGGAAAAGAGGGTGTGCGAAAACATGGAAAAAGCTGGATATATGGTTGGGTATGTCCGTGCCTTTGCTTCCTATACGCCTTTCCATGTATTGTATATTCGCATAAAAATTTTTTCCCGTTTTCTATGAAATGGTAAAGTTGGCTCAAGTTTGATGTATTTGTGAAAGTGGTATATGAATGTAAAAGTTGGAGGGTAGTAGTATTGCAAAAGTAAACAACTAGCTGGTAACGTTTTGTATCACAAATATGTAAGCCCGTAGGGATTGTAAGGCTAAGCATGAAGGGATGTTTGATAAACTATAAGTTCGTGCCGTTGCGGTTCTGCATCACCAGTATAACTATAGAAAACATTCATAGAATGCTTTAATTAGCATCATTTAAATTCGGGTCGACAATATTTTGTCCTGGAAATATAGTATTTACGATCTTCTCACACAGACTGCCGTTATTTTCAAATGAATGATTTTTGACTTAAAAAGTTCAGAAAATATGACTTGAGTAGAAACATTTAAGAATATGGAAATTTATGATAAAAAGAAGTCATTTTTGACACGCCAGATCCAGCTTTTGTCGCACCCTTTACAAATTCCCAAAAAGTTGCATACACAGTCAGAATCAAATGATTTAAACGAGTCGGTTGTAGAACGGGTTTTCCAAAGTCAGTAGATAACTGGTACGCCTAGACTATGGAGACTTATTAACTCAGGTAATAGGATTACATTTGAGAGTGAAAAGACACATACGATTCAACTACTCACAGCAAGCAACTCAACATGTTGCAGCTCAAATAAGGAAGCTTTACGAACAAAGTACTCAACTTGAAGACTTATCCTCACTTCCTCACTATTTGTATGGCGAGTTTGATTTGCGTGACATTGTAAGTTTGCAAGATTTACCTCACCCTTGGCCATTTCAAATAGAGCAAAATGAGCAAGAAAAGCAAAGTCAGCAGGATCGATACGACATGCAAATTGGAGAACTAATTTCTTTATTGTCTGCTCTAGACCAAATAAAACAAGAACGAAAAGTCTTAGAGGACTACCGAATGTCTCTAGAGCCGTTTCTAGATACTTCTCAATCGCCTGAAAGACAACAATGGAAAAAGAACCCAGAATTGTCGGCCCTTCTTTCCTCAGTCAACGTCGCAATTGCTAAAACCAGTGCTCGTCTCCGGGATGTCCCTTTTATGCCTTCTTCAAATTCAGCAACTAGAGATCAGATTTTTCCCCTTGAAAAGAAACTAAAGGACCAGCATTTTCGCAATCCTTGATTCCGTGAGCACAGGATACGCTGAAAAGCTCGTTGATGAATGACATTCTGATTATAATCATTGATCTTTAGGTTTTTAATTTTGAGTATCCTATGAAAGGAAAACCTGGTCCCTTAATCTAAAATTACCTATTCATGATTCAAGGATTTTGCGAAATCTAGCTGTCAATTTTAATTCGCACCTGAAACCTAATCTCATATTTTTTAAACAACTTGTACATTAAGTTTTGTATATTTGCGATTAACGGATTCCGACTGTTAAAGCAAAGCGAATCCACAGAATGATGGTCGACTACAAATTACAAAATTATGTAAAAAAAAAAAAAAAAAAAAAAAAAAAAAAATAAGAATAGAATAAGAAAGAAC